AAAAAAAATTAAAATAACAAAGCTGAGAATGTCACTGACACAATAGTGGTTTTAAGAATCTGATTTAAACAAGTACTGAAAATATTAATACAAAAGTCAAAGGCTTAATCAAAGATGGACTCACACTACCAAATATAACATCTGACTCAACATGTGTACACAGGTAGCACCAAGCTAGTCCAGTAATAGCCAATTGTGCAGGGCCTGAAGAAAATCCCTAAATCCAAAAGGTTACTGAAGGACTCAATAACCTTGCCTTTTCAAATCCTTTTCATTGGAATATCACAGTTAAGGTGCCAAGTACAATATTTCTTTTGATGGTTGGCAGACAAATGAAGTGATGGCAGTCCTTGTTTCGAGAATTCCAAACTGAGACCACAGCACAGTGCTATGTCTTTGGTTCCTTTTTCTGACACATCCAAACCAAAGTGATTGCACAGCTCCTCTTGTGAGAGTTCCATACACAGGGGCAAGGACACGGCTGTTCAATCCAGGCATTTGTCTTTTAGTAGTCCAAACCTGTTTATAGGAAATACCTGAATAAAATAATACAAATGCAATTTACCAAAAAGCTAGACAGCAAAACTGGTACATACATGAATACATAAATAAAACAACCAAGCAACAAACAACATAAAACATCAACAACAAAAAATTCATAAAAGACTTTTTAAGTTTCTTGAAAATTTTAACAATCTTCACTTCCATAATAACTTTCATGTGAAAATTACTATATCATCCAGGGATATATATATGCATATAAATATATCTATAACTACCTCGGCTCCACTTCTTTTCGGTATTTAACTTGCACTTTAACAACACATAATGTCTGAACAGATTATGACTAATTTTGACTAAAACAGAAATATGGTTTGGCTCTTGTAACTAGCAACAAAACACATTGCTCCTACATCTACTGTACCTTCAACAAGACTTTTCCTTGGAGAAGCCCATATGGTACAGGACCATAGTCATTAGAGTCTTTAGACTGCTCTGTATTATCCCCCTCTAACCATACATGACCTGTGGGCACCTGAAGAGACAAAAGTAATCCCAGATCCAGAAATGTAAAAACAAAGAAAACAGATAGTTTTTAAGTTACCAGGAAGCTGAACAAGAAGTAAAATGAAGTTAATACCAGAGGGAAGTTAGTCAAGCTGCTGAACTTTGATATGCTGGTCAGACATGCATATTTAAACGTGTGCTTATAAAAGTAATATGACAGTTGATGTACATGAAACACTCTCTGGATCCTGCTGCACCATTATCTTTGTCATGTTCTGTTGTCTTTGTCTTCCCACCATTTTAAAATAGGTTACCCAAGATTTCGATGGATATTGTGAGATTGTGCACACCCTTTATAATAATCTCTTCAGTAATTTTTACAAAAATCTTAATCTTATAAAAGAAAAAAAAACAAACTAGTATCGGAATGGGTTCATTAACCACTGGTATGTATGAGAAAATTCATTTTATGGTACTTTTTCTGCAAAAATGAAGAGTTATATCTGAAGCTATATCTCTCTTACTTTCCAAATTATAACAACATATATAATGGTTATATAATATAAGTACTGTTTTAGCATCCTTATCTCGACTATGTTCTAATGCATTCTTACCTTAGCTAGAAAAGGTGAAGTTGAAGTTTTATCCAACACATCACCTTCAATCAAAGTGACTCGTTTCATTACCAATGTTCTAGGATCCACTGGAGATCTGCATAGTACTACATCTCCCCTGAAAAAGTAATATTGCATAGCAAATCTTTGGTCAGGGTTAGTCAATAGTATTAATTAGCGCATCCTAAAATACTGCCAACTCAATAAACTGTAAATCAATGTAATTGAAAAAAATATATATATAACAATAATCCAATCTTGCCGCTTTGTGAAAGAAACCTGCCTTTTCACCAAACAAAGCCACACAGTAAATAAGAAAGCAAAAGTACACTTTGACACTTATGGGGAGAATGTTGCCAAAATATATGCCAAAAATTCAATAATCTTCTTCAAAATAATTCTATTATGTCAATTTTACAAAGCAACATGCTTTTTTATACCAAACAAAACTAATCTTGTTTCATGTGGGGACGCCATATTCGATGCACAGATCAGTATATCCAAGAATCATCTGTTGTAAATGCTCTCATAGTGTCTTTATGGAAAAATTACAATCCACTGAAAGTAACCCAACATACCTTTCTATATTTTGAAAGTTAATGCTGATCTTCTCTACGATTACAACATCCCCACCTTTAATAGTAGGCTCCATAGATGACCCATGACACTGAAAAAATAAAATTATCATTATCATTCATTAATAATATATGCCTTTCAACTTTAAATCAATGTAAGTACCTACAATTTGCTAACTACCTTCCTAGCTGTTGCTGACAATGTTATGTTGTTATTAACTGGCACTAACTATATTACAATATTCATTGTTTTATTGTTTAAAGTCATAATATAAATTCAGGGGCATCAGCAAGGCCATCTTTATTGTCATTAGCTAAATACAGTGCAGAGATATTTCCCATTTTTTTATCCAGGCCTTGGTATTGTGAACAAAGAATGAATACCTCTTGCCTGAGGGAACAGTAAAACATCTACTTCTGTTAAGTTGTTAGGAAGAGGTTGCCATAATTTTGGATTCACAGTTTGAATAACCTTGGCAAAAATATGGCATTTCTCACTTAAGTAAGGTAGGAGTCAGGTGGTATAGATGGCACCAACACCTAAACCACTTTGTAAATAAAAACTAAACAACTGCCCCATCCTCTGAACCCCTAGGGTAGGGAGTTTTAAGCTATATTACATTCTGGTCATACTACATAGCACGGAAATTCATGCGTTAGCACTCCTATTGACAATTCTGACATGTACTGGCTGTGTTGTTAGCACAGCCAGTACATGTCAGAATCGTCAATAGGAGTGCTAACGCATGAATTTTCGTGCTACATACTACATACAGTAGTACAAAGAAGATCATGGGATTTGAAATCTCGAGAAATAGATCTGATGGCTTTTTGTTATACACTATTTATCAATATGTGAGAGCTGAAATGGATCTCATATATATGATCAAGGAGTTTTAACAGAAACTGTTGAAACTCCTTGAACCCATATTCAAGAGCTGAACAGAATAGGGATATAATTGCAGTGCCAGTATATTGAGTGGTGAAATCAGGGCAATATTCCCAACCACCAATAAAATGCTGAACAGACTAGGAATACATTTGCATGCCAGTATGTTGAGTGGTGAAAACAGGGTTATATTCTTAACTATCAATAAAATGTAAAATATTATTTTAAGTAGGTCAGATTATATATGTGTTTTTAACAATAGGGATTGATTTCATGAAGTTTAAACTATCATACAGGGGTAAGTCTTTGACTAAACTACCATTTTAACGTTATCACAATAATCAATTCACTTAGACTCTATCCAATTCATGCGTTAAAATTTTTGTTTTAATTGCCAGTTGAAGTTCTGCTGCACTGTGACTGACCACTGTGATATGTCCAACAAACTCTGCCGTGCAATGTATGATAGCTCCATATTTAAGTAATCTGCCCGCTAGCCTTACACCTCGTCGAAATGCCATGTATTTTGTGTAACGTTAAATGTATCACACGACAAAGTGCCATTTGTATTATTAGGAAGTGCAGGAAAAAGATCTGCTCTACATCTCTACATGCTGTCCTGGTGGCGAGAGTAAAGTAAAGTGTCTGGCCGATAGAGGGCTCTTTATGCAACTAGTAATTTGGCGCTTTCTATTATTATAAACTAGTAGGCCTAAGAGGCTGCACGTGGGTTTTCAACACTAGCTATAGGCCTACTATTTTTTCGTTACGGAGGTTAGGTAACATCTGTATTGGGTTATATTGAAATCATGCCATAGGTCTAAAGTTCAATTTTTTATTCATTTACCAAGATTTATAAAGTATTAGAAATTGTTATTGCCATCTTAGGATTCCTGTCCAGACATTTCTGTCACACTAATTGTATAGGAATACAAAACCTGTAATTTTATACTTTTAATGGTTTAGACATCACTGGGGACAGACATGCTTTTATGCCATGAGAGATTTTTTTTTTTTAATTTGGTGCTGCTAAATATACATGTACATGTTAAAGACCGTAATCAATCAACATCTCCCTCTGCGTATGTACAGCGTATATGGATGAACTAGTTGCGTATGATGGGGTGTGTCTCTAACGATGAATTAACATATGTTAACATTTACATAACCTATGTAAATACATAACATTTACATAGACGTATGTTGAACGCATTTTGCGTTTACCTAACGCATGATCCTCTGCGTTTAGTCATGTGTGGTAAAAAAAGAGTACAATTTGCACATTTTCACCACAACCGCCACTGATGGAAAAGACAGATGTGGATATTTTTGAACACCAGTTAGATTTGATTCAGTTTGCACGCTGATATACAGTACTCTTAGTACTCATACGTCGATATACGTTACACTTCCGATGTAACACCTTAATTACCCATACGGTATTCAAACGCACATTATATATAAGCTTTCAATACGATATTTCTACGGTGCTTAAACGTTAATTCTCAAACGCTCGAAAAAGGGTTTTTTTTTCTTACGCTCAAAGAAACGATTTCATATACGATACTTTTCTTGAAAAAAATTATTTTAATACTAGTTAACCGTATACTCTTTTTTGGCTCAATTTCATGGTGATACGCAGCTAAGCATACATGTACATGTATATTTAGCCATTAATAAAATCTTCAATAGCAGGTTTAGAATATTTAACAGATCGTAGGTTCAATAGTTTGGAACTGTGTAACGCCGACAATTGGGTTTCGTTATTCTGAAGGTTTTTTTTTTTTTTACTCCGAAAGCGAATTTTTTAAAAGAAACTTTGGAAAATGGGCTTATTATGTTTTATATTAGTGTGTTACCTCACTGCGTCGTCTGAACAAAACTGTCGAGACGGGAACGTGACATGAACGCATCTGTCTCGCCATGGTCAAAACGTTGACGTTGTAATCAAACTAATATCTATTTCTTAAAAACCGCACTACACTACTGTCTCGGAGCTGTTTTCAAATAAATTTATCAGAATTACAAGTAATTATATAAATAATAAAAGCTGAAGTGAATAAAACAATTAAATTGATTAATGTTGTAATAGTCAAAGCAATAAAATATTTTCTAATAAAATGAGAAAATATATAATTTCAAGTATTAAATTTTAATTGAAGTACTGTGCAAATAAGAATATTTTCAAGTCTTTTTTATAGACCTCAACACTATCAATAGATGCTGCAATTGAAAATGCCCTGTGGCCGCAGGTTTTAGTTGTTTTATGTTGTCATTCCTGGTAAAGGAAAGAGTGGAGGTGGACCTGGTGAGATTGGCTGAACTTGTATGTAGCATAGAGTTTAAATATGCTATGATTTAGAGCATGTTCAAAATTATCACAATGCCAATGCATTCTGACTAAAGACGCAACATGGTGTCACAACGGTATCTCACAGCTAACGCAACTGAGTCTTCTTTGTGGTATATTAGTAGAGTGGCCGCCTCTATCTCTGTTTGTTAGATTCTTAAATGCGACATGACCGCATGCGATATAGGCCTACTTTTTGCTCTCTTGGCACGCAATCTGTTATCCTCAATAACTTTCATCAGTTTCACAAATTTAAGAGTTTAAACTCAAGGAAAACAATTATTTTTAACTTCTTTAAAAACAGTATCGTTAATTTTGGCGATTATTTAAAAAATTTGATGTGATAATTTTGTTGAAATTTCTTCCGTCGTAGTCGATCTGCATTGTAGATCAGGAGTGCGGAAACATTGCGACAAAATTTGAACTAGACTTTTCCATTGGGGAAATACTGCGACTTTCTGAAATGATGGCGTTCTTAATGCGTCCATGTGCGGTGGCAGAAGGCAAAACGAGTCAAAAAGGATGGTAGGTTATAATTTCATATCAGTGGAACTTCGAATCGATGAAGGAATAAAAGATCAAAGTTTTGTTGAAACACAGGAGTAAAGAGATATTCGCAATTGGGGATATCAGTTTGGAACAACCGACCTTCTACGTGAAAGCCATAGGAATTAAAAATATATGTTTTATTGGACATTGAAAAAATCGGAATCAAAATTTCTCGAAATTGCGCGATGACCCATTTACGCTGCACTTACTGACTTGGTAACATAGACCGCTAACAAAAGTTCAGCAAATGTGTTTTGAGACTGAAATACTGAATTTAGTATTTCATTCAACTTAATGATTCTAAAAACTTATTCTTTGCTTGAAGATTGTTTTTATATCGAAGTATTTAAGTCCCCACACTGGTTGTGTTACGGTACTCCGGGAACCAGTCAAAAACAAGCACTTGTCCAGGGGTCAACAGCAATTAATTGCAATGCAATTTCCCTGAGTGCTAAATAAATCTTGTAATTTTGTCTTTTCTTCTTCGTATGTAAAGACAAGAAGTACACTCAATATTAGATGAGCACGCAGAAACTACATATCTTAATTGGCTTTCTTCCTCCCAATTGTGGCCATAAAATGTTGTATGCCCCAATTTTAGTAACATTTGGTGAGTTCTCCCATGCCCACTAAAATAAAATTGTGTAAAAATGGAAATCCTTTTTTTTTCTGTTTAGAGTCTCTAGGCCATACCATAATTTTTTTGCCACTTTCGCGCTTAGATTCTGACTTAGATTTTGTGAATTATAACAATTATTATCATTTTAAATAAAAAAAAGCATATTGTCACTCTTAACTCATTCTAATATACTCGTTTTTAAATCTACCCTTGTTAAAGAAAAAAAAAGAGATGTCCTTTAATATCGACAAATCTTAGCCAAATTATAATTATATTCATAAGCGACCACCTCGGCAACGCCGTTATTCGCTGTGCGGGGCCATGCTGCTCCGTGCTAGTGTAGTGATCATCTTATGAGTTGAGCATGATGTCTGCGGTTAAGACACTACAGCTTTGCGGTAACTATACTATTTGAAAAATATCTTTATCCTACAAAACATCTGTTCCAACTTTTGAATACATTAAGATTCTGCTCTACATTTTGACCTGTTTAATAATACAGCTTTCGTATGAAAAACATGACCATTGTATCAAAAATCGCATTTTATTTACAAAAAAATTTTTTTTTGTCTCAGAAATACAAAAAAAGTCCTGTTATTGATATTGACATGTCTTAAATATACCATGCTGTTACATTTAAGACATGTCAATGGATATATATCCAGGGGCGGATCCAGGATTATTTGAAGGGGGTGTCCGTTTTTTAGGAACGACAGGCAGCGGATGCGAAGCCGCCCGCCCCTCCCATCGGCGTGAAGGGCCCGAAAATTTAGAGGGAGAACGGTGCCATTTGATACGGATTAGAACTATGATTCAGCTAGTCAAAATTCTAATTTCAAGAGGGAAACACTGGTGTGATTTTTTTTTCAGAAATCGAAGGGGGGGGGGTCAGGACCCCCTGACACCCCCCTCCTAAATCCGCCACTGTATATCGAAATTCGAGGCATTCAAATGCTCATTTATATGGCGATGATTCGGAAAAATACATTCAATGAAAGTAAAAAACATAAGACATGCAGGGGGAAATGTTGGAAATATCTTCTCTTTCTCCGCGCTTTTTCTGGCGCGCTAGTCTTTTTTCGTCTATGTCTTTTAGGATTTGTCAAACTTTATTTCAATATTTACAGTCGGTATCAATTATGTTTTAAAAATGTGCTATGTGTATGTAGGTGTTTTCAAAAGTAAAACTACACATGTGTTCTAAAAACATGTCATCATGAAATGATGAAATCACCAACTTCCCGATCTGAGTCAAACGATCACGTGCGACGCATTGCAGTTTCACGGACGCTTCAGGTAAATGAAGACTATAAACATGAACTTTTCACTCACAAATTGAGGTGCATCAGACACACACAATAGGCGGTCTAAGTAGAATTATTTCCCTTTGTACAGATGAGGTGGTCGTAAAAAAATTGTTACCAAAGTGGATTATTGACCAGTATCTAATAATTTAACACGATAAACACCTTTGGGAAGCGAGTTTAAATTTAAATTTAAAACCACATTCTGGAAAAAAACAAAACTATATCAAGATCATATCCACTAAGGAAGATTTGTCAGTTTCTTGAAAAGAAGACGAATTGTTGAAAAATATCAACATTTAATATAATAGGCCCTATAACAATGTTGGTGAAAATTTTGAGAAGGTTGTCCCAAATGAAAAGTACTTATAATAAAGAAAGGATCTTGAAACTAAATCCTGTTTATCAAGAGAAGAAATATGAAGCTTATGAACCCACGTAACGATCAATGTGCTTTTTACAGATATTAAAATTTTAAAATTTATGTGTCTACATAGCCAGTTTAAGACGTGTAGCCTTCTTAGGTCTAACTATTTATCCCTAAATTTTATGCGTGTGTTAAAAAGATAACTGGCACTTAAGTATACACTTCTAACCAGCAGTGCTGGCAATGGAGATGTTTCAAAATTGCACTTAATGCACTGTGTGCTTTTTCTAAACACAGTCTGAAAATAGATGGTCAATTCAATAAAGAGGCAGCACGTTGTGCGGAAACCGTCAGTTCTCCTAGCTTTGGTAAATGATCACGTGTGATGCATTCCCGTTTCACGGACATTGAAGGTGAACCGCGTACTTGACGAGTCGGCAGACATTTAAAAACTCATATGGTCATGATTTGCACGAGGGACTGTTATGCACAAACCGTGGCACACTATAATAACCCAACAACAGTCTATGAATCTTAGACTGGTAAAATGGCCTAAATTTGTCAAATGGCTCTGATCTGTTAATTTTATCTACATACTAGTGCAATAAAATTAAACCTTGGCAGATGGAAAATTATGGTTTCTAGTGAATAGGCCTAATGAAAGCGTTGGTTGGGGGCCTATTCTATCGTTTCATATGAAAGTTCTTTTAATTACTGTTGATAAATGCATGACCATTTTGGTAAAATCAAAAATACATAAAATCCACAGAAAAACAAAAAATGTATTAACACCTTAAAATTTAGATATATAAAAGAGAGGGTGTGTGCACTTCAATTAAATGTTGATTGTTTGCAGTCAGTTTTATTTTTTCAGACTTAACTAATTGGTGATAATGCATTTTATAGAAAAAAAAAAGATATTTCAATTTAATGTTTGGAAAGTGGTAAAAATATTTTCTTAAAGTTTCAAGCAATATCAGTGATGGATACCAAATTTCAGTGACCCCGCCACCACACTTACAAAATGTATAACTAAATGCAACATACTTGCTTAATTTTAAAGAAAGTAATAAATGTACACAGGACTTATGACCAAAACAAGTGCATAAAAAGGCTTTTTAAACATACATTATTAATTTTCTATGAACAAACAAGATAGTACATATATAAATTCTGACTGAGCCAGACTATAAAACTATTTTTTTCTCTTTGTTAATACTGCCCAAGCTTGCATTAGAATACATAATAGGATAGGGTTATTTCACTAGGTTGCATGAAATAAATTTTTGATTTAACTAATAGCTTATAGTGTTTTTTTTAAGGTGTTACACTAAATATGTTCAAACAGTTATCAGAACATACTACTACAGGCATTCTTTTATTTTGGTACGTAAAGTCCATCACTTGGTAAACAGCAGTGCTGGGAATGCAAATTATGGTAAAATGTAAATTTCTAATTATGAAAGTTCTTTGCATTAGGAAATTGTCAAAGGAAGTAGAAAAATTTGAGCAATAACGAAAAATATTTTCAACCTACAGTGATGTGCAAAATGCCACTGAAATAAAGATTAAATAATTTGGATCTCTGAAGCATCAAGTGCACTATATCAACATTTTATCCATCCAACTGTCAGATGTTATCAAGGGCCAATTGCACCATTACCTACAAAAGCAAAATTTTATACACTACAGATGACTGGTCATTTCACTGACATCATTTTGTTAAATGCTAAAACTGAACCCCTACATTTTTCATGATAACAATCAAAAAAATTCCAAATTAATCATAATAATGGTGGAACATCTGGGTCATCTACAAAGTCCTCGCTGTTCGGCCTTTCAACTGGTTTCTGGAAAACTTTACTTTCAAAGGGAGCCTTAACTACATCAGTCTTTTCCTTAACAATGTTTCCAAAATCCATCTCTTGATTTCCATTTGGTGCCACTTCCAATAGCTCCACAGTTTTCATTTTGTTATCTTTGTGCCCATCATGCTTTGGTTCACTGTTGAAGGTTTGTTTAGGTGGGGACACTTTCCTTGCCTGTATAAGATGTTTAGCTTTAGGCATTGATATCAAAAGATGTCCAGTGGTTTGAGAGCGCCGTGCCTTACTGGAGTCAGCTTTAACTTCCTCTTCAAGAACAAGTTGTAGAACCTTACCCTTGATTGTAACCCTTACATAAGTTGGCTGAACATCAACATCAAGTAGGGAGGTGTCTAAGTATTTGTACGTGCTTACATCTAGAACGTACTGATTGTTCTCTTCATCATCAGTGAGTGAGAAGTCAATTTTTGCTTCGTTTACATTTAGCATTTGTCCATTGTCTGTCATGAGTCTTCTTGGTTGCTTGGTCTGTTTGCTTTCATCTTTCTTTTCATCACGCTTTTTCAGCTCTTGGAGGTGTTCATGAACCTGCATCCTTGATTCTGGTGTGAAAGGTACCTTTTCCTCCCAGAACTCTTTCTCTAACTCTTCTCTGTTTTTCTCATCATTCTTTGGAGAATCATTTATGGTTTCATTAATTTGTGTCTCAGCATTTACATCCAATGTATTGTTGATATCCGTGTACCATCTTCCATCAAACCCTGGCTTATGCTCTTGTTTTACTTTATTCTTGCCCTCTTGCTTTTTCAATTCCTCTTCCCTTTCTTTTTCTCTCTTTTTCATATACTCATTCTGCTGTCTTATTATTTTATTTCTTATTTCACTATATTCTTGGATTGCCTTGATTCTCTCAGATTTTTCAATTCCTTGCCCATCGAGTTGTTGCAAATTCTTCAGTGTAGCTATAACATAGTCTCTATAACCATCATAGTTTGTGCAAGGATTGCCCGTTAGGAATAGTTCACGGAAATGCGGCAAATCGACCAGGCACTCGATACTTGTCAACTCTCCTACAAAATTCACTGTTAGATCTAGTTTTTGAAGTGATTCGCATCCTTCCAAATTTTCCACTCGTTCGACATTATTTAATGCAAGATTAAGATACTCAAGTTTTTTTAGTCTCCCAACATTTTCAATCTTTGGTATGAGGTTACTTTGAAGATACAAAATTTTCAATTCACGACACCACTTGTCCAAATTTTCGATCTTCTCTATGTCTTGCTGATGGAGAGATAATTCTTCCAAAGAGTATATCTCTCCCTCGTTGTGCTCTGAACGTTTTCGAACGAGTAATTCTGTTATTCTTACCATGATTCAACTCAATTTTTACTGTAATTAGTGCATCTTTACAGGTTGATTCTTAGCGTATATCAAGGTACAAGTTCACGAATTTAACATTCCGCCATGATTTCCAAGCAAACAATATTCGAAATCGAGGTTCTTGATACATATAAAATTTGGATTGGCAAAGCTGTGTATGTTTTAGTTTGAAGAGTGTAGTGCATTTTTTCATGCTTATTATATAGAGATGCGAATATTCCCTTCTTCCTATATCATTAAATAAATGTAATTGACATATTTGAAAATGAGTCGTTCGTGCGTCTCGTGTCGGTGAATTCTAAGTAGTCTTAAATGTGACCGATTTCCAATGACCATGACACGGGCATTCTTGATACACGTGAATGCCAGCTGATTTTGTATGATCAGTGTATCAGCGATTTGCGAACATCAGTTGAAGTAAGTAAACGAACGAAAGAAGACGTGTGGACAAACCCAAAACAAATTACTGGTGAGTTCAATACCTTCTTTGTACATTTGGAGGGAAATAGTGAATATAAATCAATGTCAGTGTCAAAAAAACGTTTTACGTGTACATATGTGCGTTCATGCAAGTAAGTTATGCGAGAATATATCATAAATTATATTTTGCCTCAACCCGGCGGTTTGTATTTTTGAATTTTAGTAGGCGGGATTAACATTTGTTTCTTCAACCGTTCTAGTACATTCGTCTGACTTTGAACCTGTTATAATTCATAGGGAAACAGTTGAGTATTTGGTTTCCCCTCAGGAGTAGTAAAACTTAAATTAAAAAAAAGGAAAAAAAAAGAAGACACCCTATTTGTATTTGGTAACGTAAGGAATGTGTCTGTCACTTAATTGGTACTGGCATTTACTAAATGTCCAGTCGGTACACAAAATTGTATAACATGTTATATGTATACATGAGTATTGAAAATATTTGTGGTAAATAAAATGTCAGACAATTATAGTTTGGCAAGTTTAACTGCAGACATATTTGATTTTCTGCAAGGAAGTTAAGGCACGCTTGCAAGATAAAGTTTGATGTGAATAGATAATTTAATGTTACATACGATTATCAAATTATTTAATGACATTATGTATTAAACAAGCTTTTTGGAAAAATTGGTCAAACGTTACACGGATGATAAAGAAAATCAAATTGACTACTGTTACACAGAAAATTAGATTTTGATTTACATTTTTATATTTATTATAAATATTTCCAAGACATAGATTGCACCACCTTTCTAAAATATGTCAGATCACCTTGAAAGAGAGAATTCCCCCTCTGAGTCATACATCATGCTAGGCCCATGTGATTGACAGTTATTCGCTTCTTATATTAGAAAAGAAAGTAGGTCATTTCTGGAATTTTGTATAGGTGAGCATATTATGTACAAATCAAGTAAGAATTGCATCATCGGCATGCACAGTTCGTGATCTGTTTAAAAATGTGGGTGTATAATGTTAATCATTTTGTGGAAAGGTGTCTGTCAGCCCTGAATGGCATGATGTTTTTTGACTCATAAAAGAAAAACGAGTATTGATTATGGTGATGTCTTTGAATAATTAAGGCAGCTGAACACGTGTTCAGGGAATGCCCATTGAATGTATTAATGGTAGGGGAATTTCTGCAGCAGATTTCTTTTATGGATTTTTATACAAAAAAAAGGTGTAAATTTTCTAGAAGATTTGGGGAAAAAAGCAAGCCTTAGTTGAAATTACAAAATATATATACATCATATGTAATAGTTAAATGAGATAAGTAAGGTTAATATGTAGGTAAGTAAACTTACAGGAACCAGAGATAAACATTAAATATTTAGATTATTATGGCAGATTTCTGAAAATACAAATATCTTACCCAAAAGTCAAAGACAATGATAATAATAAATACATAAATGTATGGACCCTCCAGCCCCAAGGTTCCATAAACATAGATTGTGGCAGTGCTAGCTGTGTCAATTTAATATTATATTCATCTTAAAAATACACTTTAAAAATAATTATAATTAGCAAGGTATGTTTAGAATTTTATTTATTCAAAAAATGGAGTGCAAATGTTTCAATTTTCAGAGCTCTATTAATATTAAAATTTCTGAGACATTTTGAACATAAATTAATAAATAAAGATTCTGGAAACTATCCAAAGATTTAATTGAGAAGAAGAAAAAATCATTTCATCCATAATTCCCAGTAGATACATTTTACAAGTGTTTTAGGTTGTAATTCTCAATATAGCTGATACTAAAGTATTTAAAAATGAAATTGCTTGTGCTTCAGAAAATAATGAAAGAACATACGACAAAAGTACATAAAGCAATACAAAAACTTGGATAAGGATGTGAAAATAGTCTGATATATATTGTTTCTGTATGCTGATATAAGGTGAGGTAGTTAGGTATATTTTTATTTTTAAATTAAAGTGCGATGCTCTAGGTAATGATTAAATGTCCACAAATGAAAACAGAATGAAAGACAGGATGAAACAATTTAGGACAAGTCTGGACAACAGTAAACATCTTGACCATTTATTTTCGGCCTTGATGTCAGAAAGTGTAGAACTACGTGACTACATTTTATGTCAACAATTTGTTATTGTGTTAATGTATGCTGAATTAATCTAAATACTAGGACTTATCAGCTGTGCAGTAGAATGCCAATCAAGTGAGTTGCTTGGCAATTCCTCAAGGTGACATTGAACAGGGTGAGGGTTAACCAACAAAGTTTTGGAAAATTTATCCAGTTAAATAAGATTGTATAACAATTAGATTACCTGAACCGGTATTGTAGTTTGTAAGAATTCAGTGCAACATTTTTTCCACTAATCTTGCTTGAAAAATGTGAAAAAAAATAGAATTATTACTTTTCACTGGTGTGTGTTGGGTACTTCGTTTATCTGAAGCTGCCATTGGCTGAAACTGGGTCATGCAGGCAATGCATGTTTGTAACATGACAACATGTTTATGAGGCTACTACCTGCTGACAGAGTATATATAAAGGACCCACACTTGCCCTGAACAAATAATACAAAGAAATAATACAAAGTTGAAAGAACTGTTGCATACATTGGACTCTAAAAAGAAAATTGCATGGAAGTTTTAAACGCAAACCTTGGATATCATGTAAGTTGTACTTTGGACTCTCATGCAGCTGTTAACTGGATTATAGTAGTATGCTGCTTTTGGTCAGTGCAACACCAAGCTCTTGAAGGGTAATGAGCTGATTAAAACTCTGGAACCAGGGGAATTCACATTGTTTTACTTGAATTTTGAAAATCTTCGTATGCACAGTGTGGGTTTACATCTAAAGAAAGAAAGTTAAGGTCTACATATTTTTTCCAGATTGCAAAATTTGATACCAACAACATGAGTCGGTCAGCAGCCATGTTTTGTCTAAGAAGTGGCAGTATTGAGGAGAAGTTTGATTACTGCCCAGATACACAAATCCCATCTATTCCTCCTGGTGGGGCTGTTGTGAAGGTAAGAGTAATTTTATACTTCACTGAAGATCAAATACACATTGCTTCCATTTGTCAGAGTGTACATTTTTGGGTTTCTTGTTAAGTAGAGGTAAGAGATAAATGGAAATGTCAGGGTATCCTGCATCAAGCTTGTACTATAGGTTTACCTGACAAATCTGCCTTTTGAAATGTGCTGTTTGTTACTTTTGGATAAAAAAAAGATTTGAGAAAATATAGACTTTGGCATTTGGTAATTAGACTGCATACTGTTAAATGCTATAGCTTTGATACAAATCTGAAAAGTCTAGGGTGTGTCAATTTGCAAACATCAAGTGCCATATAACTTATAAGTAAAACATTAATAGCCATAATATGTAGTGTCAGAAAAAGTATGTGGAATATATTTAGCTAATCTGGCCTATCGTATCCAGAGAGAGATTATGAAATTTATTTAGCAATGGGATTATCTTATCTCGATGTGACCAGGGAATTATATTGTAGACTATACAATTCCCTGATGTGACGGACTGAAGTTATTGTTGAATATTAGATTATTAAGTATCGTTCACATTAGATGGAAATGTAACATTTACAGCAGTTCTGTTTCTGTTCTGTTTGAGAAAGTTAAGTTCGCAATGTTCTGTATGGATTTTCAAGTTGCATTACGTAAGAGCTAAACTGAATAAAGGGACACAAGACTAGTACAGCTTAACAAGGGCCTCAGGTTCGATGTTTTGTTAAGTAAGTGGGCAACAGTCCAACTGTGAAAATAATGCCAAAGCACCTGACTATGACGTTAATGTTGACCAGTATAAAGTTCCCAATATGTCCAATATATTATTGCTGACAAAGGTACTGCCCAGACAGTAAATATACTAGAAATGCATAAACAGTGTAATCCAGAGAGATATTTACTAGTATGCATTGGGGTTTGCAGGATCTCTTTTTATTTTGTATTGTTAGTTTAGCATCATATTTGAATTGATCTGCCAAGCTTGTTCAAGTCCAGAATGCGAATTATAGTAAATGCAAGAAAAATCAATAAGAACATGTAGGAATCACATGATCTGTGCCTATGTTGTGTGGTATAATGGAGCTAAAAGTGTTGAAGTGTTAAAGGGTCCCTCGCTTTTTATTTGCAAATTAAGAAAGTATGTAAAAGTTCAATGTAACCTGTAAGAATCATGGAGTGCATAGATTCTTTGGTTTTAAAATGGACATTTACAAAATATTTACCTCATCTGCAGCTAATTTCATATGGTAAGAGTAGGATCCTTGTGAAAACCTCAACAAGGGTGAAAGCCCTCGCAAGGCTTTCCTTGTGAAAATTGTAGGGATTTATTTAAGAATGACTTGAGAAGGGTTACTTGAAGTCCTTAAATCATGAAAAATAAAGCATGAGGACTTAGTACTATTTGGGTCAGTTCCCTATCACATGGCAGTCCATGTGAGAATAAGAGCTCTAAGTAAGGGGGGACTAATTTGGTTCTCCATTTTCAGGATGGAAAAATATACATCAGTTATTTCCATATAAAAAACTTAATTAATTTACTTTTTTTTTTTTTTTTTTTTTTTTTCAGATTTGCTATGCTGGTGCTTGTTATACAGAAGATCACATGATTGGCCATCATAAAAATCTTACCCCAGGTATGTATTAGATTTGGAATTAAATTTTAACGTAGTTTTTTTTTTTCCTGGGAAAAAATAGTGTTGAAAACCATCGATCAAGATCAACTTTTCTATTAATGGATATAATAACTAACATAGCGTCTTTGACTGGAATTTAGTCAGTTCTGTAATGGATTGATATTTAGTGAAATCCATAACCTTCATAGTAGACTAACATCATTCCTAAAAACAAATCTAGACTAACATCATTCCTAAAAACAAATCTGTGTGACTCTTGGCATTCTCAGAGCATCTGCACATCACATGATAACGGGGCTTCCAAGAGTTATTTAGTAGGTCAGAAAAGAGAAAAATCAATATCTGCTCTGTGAAGTTACCTGTATGCTCTCTGCTGATTGGCTGCTTAGTTGGCTAATTTATGCAAGGTCAAAAGGTTGAAAGTGTACTTGAGCTGATGTGTACAGACTCTGCCAGTTGCTAAATATAAATGGAACCACATAAAGAACCTTCCATTGTTTGTTTGAGATTTACTCCTTCGGTTTGAAACCGCATTGTTAGAAAGTAAATAGCAAACTAGAAATAGGGAAATATTGCGCAGTTTGGTCATTGGAGATATAAATCAATGAAAAGTAGGAATTTGCATATATTTTTCTATCTAGTGCCCCTTTCTCAAAGATTAATATTAAAGGAACATTTGAAGATACTGCTTATCATTCAAATGAAGCTTTGCAAATTTTCACTTGTATTTTATTTATCGATTTTTATTCATCCTAGAGAATACACTCAAGCTTTCATTCTTTAATGAGCTATCAAATTTATACAACTTTTATATTTATTCAGGCTTTGAAGTGGCTGGAATCATTCATGGTGTCTGTCCATCTGTTCCCAACGCAAATCTAAACATTGGTGACAGAGTCATAGTTTTCCCAGAGGAGCACCATTACACCAACACATACTACGATTATATCACTGTGAAGGATGTGAATAATTTGATTGTGATCCCACCAGAATTTCCCATGGAAGTGGCAGCCATGCTTCCCTGTGGCGGCCTCACAGCCTACAACGCAGTTATGAGAGCTAAACCCATTGTGGAATACATGCTGCAGAATAGAAGTAAGTTTGATTTGGTAGTGTGATAGGATGCTGTTAAAACCAGTATTAATATTCATATTATTTTGAGAGGAATGAAAGAAGTTTAAACTTGCAGTGATTTTATTCATGCAAAAATGTATGTACAAAATATGCTAGAAAACTAGAAATCTTCTTTAGCTTTTGATCAAAGATTTGTATAGTAACATGAATTTTTCTCTTCTCTTCAGATTGTGTCAATATCCTAATAGTTGGTGCTGGTGGTTTGGGGTTGTGGACAATTAAACTGGCCAAAGCTTTAATCAGTGGAGACTGCAACAGAGTTCACATCACAGTAGCAGACACAAGTGTAAGTTTAATTTGTATTTTGTTATTCTTTTTGTTTTTATGTTTGTATAAACTAGTATGTAATAGACTTTACAAAAAAGAATGAAAATGTAATTATGGTTAATGTACCAATTTGTCATCATATATATGTTGGTAAGGAAAATAAAAATTCAACAGATAGGTTGCACATATATTTATGATTTTTAATGTTTGTTCCAGATTGACAAATTACTCCTGGCTCAGGATCATGGTTGTTACGATGTCATTCACTGGAATGATGCAGACCATGAGCAGTACTTAATTGAAAGGACACTGGATGTGTGTCGTGGTGGCGTAGACCTTGTCATCGATTACGTCAGCTCACCTAGAACATTTAGCAGGACGCTGCAGGTCCTTAATAGGGTAAGAGATATTCTGCTATTTTCCTTAGATAAAGTTTTTTTAAATTCATTTATATTTACTCATCTTGAATTATATTTTATAGTGACATTGATTATAGTTTCAAAAATAGTTACGAGAAGTGAAGAATGGGCATTTATACAATAGCCAATTATGACACAAGGCTAGTGCCATAATTAAAAATGAGAATACTGAAAAATAGTGATGAATAATTTGTTCTATTTTAGGAAGGAGTGGTGATTGTTGGTGGCAACTGTCAGTTTGAAATCAGCATTTGCTTGAACACACTAGCACAGAACCAGCAGAGCATTGTTGGTCTTCACTCTGGTACTGTTAACCAGCTTAGACAGCTTGTGGAACTACTCACTGCACAGAAGGTGGGTCTACTTCATTGGAAATAAATTATTTATTTATTATCTTGAATATTGTAATGTGAAATGTTCTCATCTATTCTTACTTTTAAGCTGTAAATAACTGAGTAAATGATACTCAGTTATTTATTTGGATTAGAATTTTGATTGAATTCACGATGAAGAAAACTACAGAAATGTCTTTGAGTAAAAATTATATATTAATTTGGTTATATTTACAGCTTGCATAATAATTTTCAATGGTATTCTTTCAGGTTACTCCACCTACTTATGCCACTTACCCAATCACTCAGGCCAGCCAGGTGTTCAAAGACTTAAATGAATGTAAAATTCTTGGCAGGGCTGTCTTACAAGTCAGTGCAGTGGAGGATTAAGATATCTCGAGGGCAACCAAAGACTGCCACATGGATATATATATATATATATATCAGAAATCGGACCTTAGGAAGAGTCCGTATTCAAATGTGTTCAGTTGTGGTGCTACTCCCCAAGTTCAGTCTACCTACAGGAGTAGAAGTCTGATTCTGTGATGGGAAGATCTTGCCCACTGCAGAGGAATTTACAAGAACATTTCAGATCTGATGCTCTATACAAGTGTGTGTAGCATAAAGATCTGCCATTCCTCAATGTGATTGTTATCCATAATACAATATGAGAGAAAGGGGGAACACAAGGTGTTGTTTTCATCATCATTGTCATCATCATCACATTGTTAAGTGTTTCAGCACAAGTTGTTTTTGTGCTATTTTGGTTATTTAAAACGGCATGGATGTCAGACTGGGGATTTATTTATATGGTGAGTGGAAGATGGATTAAGCAAAGAACATGAGATTTATCTGGATGGACCAAAGAACTGGCTGTCTCATTTTTTTATTTATTTATAAAGGACTTGCTTTGTACCCAGTCCAATTTGATCTCATTTGTTTGTAAATGTATTTATTAGCATGTGTGTACATAATTATATTTATGGTAACTTATCGTTTGATTAAGTCATTCAGGTAGAACAGTTTTATTCCGATCTTGGTGAAAATGGAAGAAAGTATCTACATAAATAATTGGATGAAAGCGATAATGTAGATCTTTGTCATGACAAAGTTCATTTTATTCTTATTTTTGAACAAAGTATTAAGTTTTGCTAAAATTTTAGTACGTTTATTAACTTAAATTAAAAAAAATTCTTTAGGTTTTTTGTTATGTAGTTGCAAAACATTGTATACATTGAGATATAACTTGAAACATTCAAATGAGAAATGTGTATCCCCATGTCACATGGCATTTTCTTATTAGTAGAGGCTTTTTTTTTTCATCCTTGCCAAAATCATTTTATGCAAGTGAGAATGTCAAGTTAAATCTTATGTCATCATTTGTAAATAGCATCTCATGTCATTAATTATAACATCTGTATATAATGAACAGAAATTAAAAATCTAAAACTCACAGAAATCGTGTTGGCATATGTCTTTGAAGTCTGAAAGTTTAACTTGTTCTGTTATTAAATGACACAATATTGGGGGAGATATATTAAAAGGACTTCTTGTATATCTGTCTTGAAAGCGGAGTGCCACACAAGTGAGCTCAACTCATAAATAGCACAACTGGAAAGCATGTTGTGGAAGCAGTCCATGACTAACCTTGGTTGGAGAGGGAAAGATTAAAACGCCCACAGGTTTTTAAGGATCACTGTCTTAGATGTGTAAATATGTAAGCCATGGCAACCATCTTAAACTGAAGAAGTGTAAACAGCATTATCAGGCACATGGATGCAGGGCAACCTACTCAATATCATACAGTCCACCATTGCTAAAACTAGCGAAAGACCTTGCCAGATAGCTGAATTTTGGCAGTTGGGGATTATTGTTGGATTTTGAACTAGGCAACCACAAACAAAACAAATGGCTATTCTCTCTGGTTCTCAATTAAGAATGCTGTGCAGAAGAGAGCTTAGTCATACATAGCTCTGTATTTGAATCAATATTCTCCCTCGTTCTCAGATCTCCAAGATGTGAGTCTATTTTTAGCAATTCGTGTGCTGTTGAGATGAAGACATCTATTTTAAGCTCACGTTTTTAATATGAAATTTTAATTTTTGCCCTTTCATTGGTTAGAAATGAGGTACTGCTTATCAGAGCATGAAATTAAATTACAATGCCATGAAAAGTCAGACTACCTTTTCTGATGTGAGATTCAACTTCCACTGTCAAGGTTAAGTTTTCATTAGTTTCCATAAAAAGCTTTTCAACACAATGGTGAAAAGGGAGTTTTATATCCAGGTCGAAATTTAAGGGGATTGCTTTCAGTTAGACGTACATGTTGACATGTGAAACCTATCTCCAACAAAGTTAGTTTAGAATATTGCCTTGTTGTTATAACAGTCAACACAACCAAATTTTGCAACCAGGTTTTCCATTTTCAAATACCTGTTGTTTGTGCTAAGCCATATGATTAACATTAAATCAAGATGTAATGTACACTTCAAAAAAAAAAAAAAAAAAAAAAAAGGTTTCTTTATTTCAGACCAACCTCTGCCATTAACATGAATTTTTTCAAAACAGTTTTTACCAGGTCTATTCTAAACATTACAGACCAAAACTACATTTGATCATTATAATAAACAAATAAATCTGGCTTCAGTCAAGTAAGGATTTTGCCTTTCTAGAAAGGTTGAGATACATGAACAGTACATCTTTAGAAAGCATTTTCTCAACAGCATACTGCAATCTTACCATAGCTGCATAGTCTAAATATTATTAGCAATGCACAAGTCTGCACAACTTTGGAAAGAAGATTTTTGCATTACTATCAACTTAGAATATATCTAATATTCAGCCAGTAGAAGGCCTTGGAAAAAAGACAGTGCCAGTTTCATTCAGTGATTGATCAATGGGTAATTACTCTCATTAACTAGTTCCAAGGACACCTAGCAGGTTAAGGTTATTCACCCACTTTTCAACCCTCAAATAAACAAGCATTCCAGTATTTATCAAATTGGTCTTGATAGACCCCATATTAATGCCCATTTAGTGATGATGAATTACTTTCTTGTTTTCAAGTTTTGTCTCACAAAAAAGAGTGACCTTTAGTTCTCACACTGTCTATCTAAAATTATTTTTGCAGTAAAATGGAAATAAAGTGTAAAATAAAAAATTCTTTGAAATTGAGGATTCCATTTCCTAGAAATATATGACAGCACTAATAATGAACATATTTTTAGTGGTGTTGAAGACCTGTGCAAACCCATTCTTGAGTATGCTTCTCTTGGTTACAGGAGAAAAAGAAAATTTGCATCAGGATTGTTAAAATACAACAAAAATATCAGAAAAAGACACCACCACCATCTGACCTGGCAATTTAAAAGTGCACTGCATACAAAGCACAGGGCACACCCCAAAAGTGCACTGTGGGGCAGTTCAAGAAGTGGTCACAACCAACACGACCTCATCCAGCCCGGTCACATAAAGGCCATTGAACCCTTATAAGTACTATTTTTAAAGAATTTGAATAATGGTGGCAAATGTGATCCTTAGTAATGATGCTGACTGGCATGTGACCAAACAATTTAAGTTTATATCAGGGCATAGAGCAGTTGCAGTTACTAAAACAATTCTTTCATTTTTATGTTACAAATTATTACTGCTTAAAGTGCCACAATGTTCGCAATGCATGCAGTGACAGGCATGGAAGTCATATATACCACTATAATTCCAAGTTTAAGTTATAAATTTTAATCAAATAAAAGTCATTCATTAGGTTTTGCATATAGGTAAGAAAAAAATTGCACATCATGTACCTGACACATTACAGCACAGGTGTGCGCCTCTTGGGTAATAAATTATGTTAAGCACTAGTTGCTCATGTTATGAGGTTAATGTTGTTTGTCAAACTTACTCAGAACAGTATCCCTCACCATCTTCCAAATGTAGTGTTATATGGTTCATTGATATTTTAATATTTTCCATATACCCCTCCAATCTTGTTTCTAGGTAGTTTTTCAGGAAAACTTTAAAAATTGTTACTTGTATTGAACAGTTCACATGTAGTCAAAAGTTAAAATATACATAAGGCATGTGCAACATCAAATATTTTCAAATTTTTTGTAACTGATAAGCATAAAGATAAAACCCTAATACTAATGAAAGGCTAAATAGATATTGTCCATAATTTCAGCAGGTTTTCCTCTATAAATGCTCAATGTGTAATTGAGGTGACTCAGCAACAGAAGGTTATCATCAAGGTGACAATAACAAAGGCAGTTCGATTGTAACGTAAGCAGTCAAGGTGGACACCAACTTACTTAGGTCAGAGGAAATACGATTTGTTTGCTTGCGTCAAATGCAAGGTCTTCCTTTATAAATATTTCCTTGGGTGACAATGAAAAAACTCCAACACATTATACTGTCTTGTTGTAAGGCATCACTAATTTGACTCATCAGCTGATGTCAAAATGGAAATTGAATTCTTGTAACATGACATTGGAAGAATACTATATATAATGATAATAAAAATAATAATAAATATTATTATTATTATTTAGTCTAAAATCTACATATGTTAAATAGACTATACAATGTAAAATACAAGAAAGAAAAAATTGATAAAAACAAGTCAGTTATTTCCTTAATTAGGGAAGATAATCAAAAAGTTATTCAGATGCTAGAGCGCTAAAAATTCAGTCATAAAAAGATATATTTCACATTCCATTTTAAAAGTCTCAGGGGAAGCTATACTGCATAAAAGAAAAGTATTCCATTCATTTGATGCTGAAGCCTTATCAGTAATCTTCTCGTGCTGACATGTCTAAGATTGCATATATTTCTATATATTTTGTACATGGTATTTGAAATTATTCCATAAATAAAGATGATGTGTAAATTAATTTCAATCTTGCCAAGTTGTTTATAACAAATTTTTTTAAAAAGTAAACTACAATTTTAAAGGTACAGGGGCCCTGACTTCTGTTATATTGAAATAATAAAATGATTACCATCTTTTCAAATCACAATGGATTTCAATGTGAACATGGAAATATTATACAGGTTGTCCTTTTGTAAAAATTCTTTTTTTTCCCCCACAAATTGTTACCATATTTAAAAAAAACTTTTATCATAACAGAGAAAATAAAACAGTGACCACTGATTCTCCCTTTTACATAAATCCAACCTAATGTTTTGGTACTAGAAATTAGCCAAATGTAGTTAATTTTTTGTCTGTCTGTCAGTAAATTATATATTTGAAAGCAAATTTAGTATTTTCAGTATAGACAATGACTGTCTATTTATAATTTTGAGAAGTCGTCATTGGTTTATATAGATTAATTGTGTTGGTATTTATTTAGCATATGACCAGAATTTGAAAAATTAATGTTCAGATAAATGTCAATACAGTGCGGCATCCAACTTGGTACCTGAAAATTCTTTTAACTTTTATAGAAATAGAGTAAGGGCTTCTCAGTTAATCCAGTTTCAAGCTGTCGTGTTGGCAGTTTGCCAGCACAGACATCCTAAATGGAAATTTCTGCCCCTTTTCCAGGCCATGAACATCTTTATTGGTAAATATTGTAGTGCGCCTAGTGCCACCCTGGCAGCATTATCATTTCCACCCATCTCAATGCCCTTAATAATAAAAGAAAGGCTAACATTTGAAGAATGAATTCACTCAAAAGTGACAGATGAATTGCAGAACATGCATCTTCCCAATATTCTTTTTTTCTTTTAGGTTTCACCTTCAGTCATTGTTATCACATCACTTATCTAACACTGGAACTTAGGTAATTCACTAGTTTTCCACAACTGCCTGTCATAGGTCTTGTGTGGACAATGCGTATCCATTACAATTGAATTTATATAACAAAAATTCTTGTTTCAAAACCAAGACCTTATGCAGCAAACCTTGCTTTTACATAATAATAATAATAAGCACTACTGCAATTTTATTCAAGTCATATTAAAATAGAAATATTATTCACACTTCATGGGACAATAAAGAACTGACACCATCTACATAAACTAGTAAACAAAGGGCCTGAAGCCTCACACTAGTTACATATTCCTATTATCCCTGTTACCTATTGTGCATAATTAAAATTTGGTGTTGACTTTGCTGTTAAGCATTATGTAACATTGCATCAAATTGACAAAATGACTTATTTTGTGCATCATTTTCTGCTTTTTGTCATTTGACAGCTTTGCTGCTTTTTTTTCCTACACATGTTTAGCTTCTGAATATTTAATCTACTTCAAACTGGATAGCCTCACATTGTCTTGCAAGATACCTGCAATGTAATGGCCAAGTTTTCCTTCAACTTATTCTAGCATTGACACTAAGTAGGGTAAAACTAATTTAGAAAACAGCAGGGTACCTTCACTTCTTAAAGCAAATGGCATGAAAAATACTCTGTATGACATCTGTTTCTGTCAAGTCCTTTTCAGTAAGCAGGAATGGTTTGTTAGACATAGACCGCATTCACATCAAGTTGAGCCATGGCTCTACAAAGCCACGAACTAAATATGTCGGATGTACATGAAAGGAAAACCGCCTAATCTTTTAATAGTTTCTCCGCCTCTCACACGCCTCCCCATGTGTTGTCCCAATGGAGCTGAGATTTAATGACTGTACCTGCTCAGGGACGACGCATGGGGAGGCGTGTGAGAGGCAGAGAGACTATTAAAAGATTAGGCGGTTTTCCTTTCATGTGCATCCGCCATATTTAGTTCGTGGCTTTGTAGAGCCATGGCTCAACTCGATGTGAATGGGGTCCTAGTCCTATAGGACGTGAACTTAATCCACCCTTTTACTACTAGAAAAAGGATTCTGCATGAAGTCTTCCTACAAATTGGGGCAATTTCAGTGCTTCACACTTCACAGTGTATATTCTTGCCAGTTCTCTTGCATTCTTACAGCTGTAAATATTTTGTGAAGAAAAAAAGCTGCACTGCACAAAAAAAAAAAAAAGAGACATCTAAAAACAGAGATTTTTCAGTGGATTTGCCTTACAGAACATCTTTATTCTTCATAATCCATTGGTTACAATTCACAGGAACACTATCAAATCACTCCTAATCAGTATTTTGTACCAATCTCTTTCAGCAGTGTGGCTGCATACCAAAAGATGCCCACCCCATGCACTAGATTCACTTACAGATGAATCTCACCACTGATAGATCCTAAAGCTGTTGAATATTTTTGCATGGATTTTCTGAATATGTGTTTTATCAGTGAGTATGTAAAATAATGCATTTATTAAAAACACATAATTTATAATTATAGTGTCAATTGAAATGGCAATAATCACTATCATTTATTGGATTCGGAGGAGAAAATAATATTCTGATTAAAAAAAATTATAGGCATCAAGTTGATCATGTAGGGATCAATGTGTGTGGTTGATATGGCAAACTATTGGTGCTACAATCTACCTGTGCAGGGCATAATTTAGGTCAATTAATGCAGGTATCTACTCACACAACTGGCCTGATCCCATTTAGGTAACATGAGGTAACTTTGCAAAGGAATACCAGGCCAGCAAATCTAGGTGAACAAATTATTTTCTCAAAGCAAATACATCAAGTTATCAAAATAGGAAGTATATGTGAATACCCTTCAAAATTCTCAGCTGATATTAACAGAATACAAGAAACAAAGTTTCAACATTATCAGTGAACGCATCAGTTTAAATTTAGACAGCAGATGTAAAACAGAATTTAAGGCAAACTCTATACAAGTAGACTGATGCAAAAGGCATGTTAGAGGTCATGGTCTGTTTACAGACAGGAACTGTGCTAATGTTATTGGCATAAGCATATTTCCAGGGAAGACAGAAAAGACTACATAACACACTAATTTCGGTTACTCAGAATACAGACTATATTTAAATAGCTCACAGATTTGTAGAGACTAATGACATGTGCTATTAGTTGATTGATATACTATTATGATCTGCATGTTGGCAAAAATTAAGAGATCATGGCCCAATATATTTCTTGTGAATAGGTTGCATGCCTTAGTCAAGTTTTGCAAATATTTACAGGTATGAAACCAGGTTAATTTTTGCAAGACAAAATGAAGAATGGTGCCTTATAAAGGCAATTGCAAATTTAATCATAAAAAGCAGATAAAAAAATCTGAATTTGAGCAACCACAGTCAACAAGCTGACATGAAAATGAGATTAAAAAAAATAAAGTAAAACTGTAGTGCATTGTATAAGCATTAAGTATGCATTATAACAATTATTCTAATTCAAACACAACTAAGTATAAAATCTGCATGCACTCTTTAGTCAGCTCATATATCTATAGCCATTGCATCAAACTGTGCTTGTATTAAAAATTCAGTTTGTGCTTGTATTAAAAATTCAGTAACTCATCTCTTAGCTGTCTCACTTAATCTTAAGTCAAGGATTTTCATTTGTTGTTTGTGCATCATCAGGTAAGCTATGACATAATACCATCTGTTAGGAGAAAGTAAGTGTTTACCTACATGACCAGGCACCAGGCTGGCAATAAACTGTATGTATTGACTTAGTTTTGAGGTTACACCTTAACCTTCACCTGAAACATCTATTTTTTTATGGAGAATGTAATTAAGCTTGATGCTGAAAACAATGTCTCCATTTACTTAAGTTGCGCAGGGCATTAACAATGATTAACATATTTTCAATCATGTACCTGTCTGAATAAGGAGCAGATTTGAAATAGGCTGACTTGAAAATTAAATGGAAAACTGATAATTCAAATAATAAGGAAACTAAAAATTTTTGTATAAGAAATGGAAAGTGCACCATAAGAAGAATCAAAGGCTAACATATTCAATTTAAATTGCCCATAAATTGCACATAAGAGTCTAAAGGCTATTAACCCTTCAGTACATTTCAGTCAAGAAATATAAGGTATGCCCTGGATGTGTCATTTCACAGGTAAACACCATAAAATTTGTTGAAAATTTACAGTGCTCACTGATTGACATCTAGTCCACAGCCCATTACATCTCCAAAATTGAACTAAAACTTACCAACAGCCAACTCTTACATCATGCCGAGAAAAAGGTTAAGTTTATTGTTAAAAACATTTACAAGTTCACTAAACCAAGATTATATAATTCTATATCATCCTTGACTTAACTGAAATAAAATATATATCTTCACAGATAGATAATGAAAAAGTGAGCTGATGTGGATTTTACTCCATGAAAGGCTTCTAAAATAGAATTAAAAGGTCGTAGAATTTTCTGTGAAATTAACGGAATGTTTCAATAAAAATGTGATTAATAAAATTCTTTTTACATATTCTAAAGATGTTCCTTTTTCAATATACATGCTATACAACTTTTTAAACAACAGTTTTAACAACATACTTTCCAACTAATGCTTTATCCATAAACTACAGGTAATTTCATCTGTAATGTCTGCAAGAATTGTTGAATGTCTACATGTATTAAAGTAGATCTGGGAAGGAGACCTGCCCTACAGTAATGCTGAACTAGAATATTACCCAAGCTGGAAATTGGGTTAGTACTTGCACCAGTGCTTATGAAGTGTAGCAAACAAGCTAAATATCAAGTATTTTGGGGATGAACTTGCAAACACTGTAAATGTCAATAACCAGGTACCCATGTTAGACATATTTTTACCCAAAAACATGGCATCACTTTACATCTTAGCAACACACATTTCTTTACACATTGCTACTTTGCTAGTCGTCACACTAGTACCTCATACACCAGACATTTAATTTGTTTTAGTTTGTTTGACATGGTAAACCTGAAGTACACCCTTTGGTCCTTCCGGAAGCATGGAGTACTACAATGTGTCCTCTGTTGATAAACTAAAGAAAATTGGGGAAAAAATAGGTCAGTGGTTTGTCTGGAAAAATATTGCCTCAACATCAGGGACATAAACATGAATACAATAACCTAGCTTTATGATATAATGCACATATTTTCAAAGGCAAAACAATTTAATTGCATAAATCTTATGCTGCGTACAGTTCAAAACTAAGGCAAAAAATTTAAAAAAATTATATAAATAATAAAATATTAAAAATAAAGATAAACAGAGATAAAGTAACTTAAAGGTAAAGGTATGAAATTTTTTCTAATAATTGTTATCTTTCTCATATTTTAATACAAATAGCAAGGCATAACCTAAATTTTGCAAAACATCTAAAGCAAGCAATAAGTTTCATGCTCATACATGCTATTGAAGAGTTAGTTTTTGGTTAAAGGTCAACAATAAACTGTATCAAAGTAAATGCACTCTACACCTGTATAGTCTGACACCTGTAACATGTAGACAGACTGTACATGGTACAAAGAGAAGCAGACTAAACAGAACAGGGGTTATGGAACATCAGATAAAGCAAATCAGTATTGCATGACATGAATTTGCACTGATGCAACTCAATAGAGATTATGACGACAACATAAAAGACTTGCACTGCTGATAACCTTATTCATGAATTTAGCCCACTTCTTCCTTTTAATGTATTTCACATGTGAACAATACTGTCATGAACCACTCCCTCAAATTTTTTTTCCGATGGTGGGCACATACTTGGGGGAGGATCATCGTATGCCTATGAATAACTATGGTAACACCCTTCTCTTACAAAAATTAGTCACTTAAACATTTATACTCCTACTGAGCAATGAAAGTTCAGTTACAGTGTTTAAGGTAAACAAATTAGAGGCAAAATTGATCTGCTTAAATGGCTTTTGATCGTTTTTTATATTTAAACCTCAAAGGTATCAACTGTACATTACTTATAGTGTAACATTTAGAGATATGAATACATGTATAAATTTTTTGACTCAGTTTTTAAAACCAATTTAGTTTGCCTTTAAATTGAGAGATTCAGTGTGTGGCCTCCTATTTTAAGTGATTCTTTTTTACAAAAAAAAAAAAAAAAAAAAATTAAACCATATGAATAAAAATACTGGTCTTTATCATAAAATCCCCATGATGCTAAACTTCCAAAAATAAATTTGACTACCAGCAGTTAAACTTGAACCTAATTTATAAAGCTTATTTCCACATATCAGTTTGTCATTTGCACATACAGACATCTTATCAAAAGTCAATATTTTATTTGTGTCAAATTGATAAGCAGCTATAGATACTTCTGATTGTGAATACAATAAACATCTCACTGTTACATAACAAACAGAATTGTAGCACTACAATTTGACCTACATGTGCATTTCTAAAAAGAGGTGCAAATCCATCTTTTAAGAATAAATTTCTCTGAGTAAGTAAATGCAAAACACAAACCTGATTGATGAAAATCACAAATTTCTATAGTAAACACTGTTTTAATAAGAAACAGGGTAAGCAGATTTAAAGGGAAGACTCATAGTTAACCTTTCTTTCTATACATTACAACAAGCTTTATAGACAGACATAATGCCAGGGATTTTTTCTGAAAAATTATGCGACGGAGGTTTCACAACTGTTTTATGGTTTTTCATAATGATGGCTCTGAGGGTAATGGTGGCTGACTGATTGTAAAGCAAGTTCAATGGCAAGAATAATCAGAAAAAACTGTTGGTACCAGCATACTTCTGTAAGTGGGCTGGAGGCACTGATCATAAAAATTAGGCACAATGCAAACCCCATTGTGTTAGGTGTTCTTACATTGTGTCTCCCTCGTAGACAAAGGTACAAGGAATTTTTTTTTTTTGTACCTCAGTGGCTCAATCTGTTGGTATTCACGAGACTATTTCTGTTATAAGTACAGTGCATCTGTAATATACCCAAAGTATTTCCTTCTGTTTATGTAAAAAAAAAAAAATGATCATGTGGCTAATAATTGCTTATCTTTTTACTATATTTTCTGTAAGTTAAACTATCTACATATATTTGACTAATCCATATAAAATTTTTCTGAACATGATACTGTAAAGTAGCCTTATATACTAGGTTTGTAGAAAGCTTTTCTCATAACAAGAAGACTACATTCTATTGATAAAAAATCATGTTCAATTATATAAAGCTGAAGCCCACAATAAAAATGTTAAAATCATACAAACCATTTTTGATTCTTAAAAACTGTTTCATTCTAATAAGCTGATTACCATGTTGTTGCTTTTAGGCAAATGAAGCACATTCCAGTCTGATAGAGTCTTTAAAACTTTATTTTTATAATAAATAAATCAAAAGAACAACACACATCACCTCAATATGATCAGATCATCCAGAGCCAACATCACTATCAGGACCCAAAGGCAAATCCTCAAACTCCCAGAAATAGGGTTTTTCATTTCATTCAACTTGTATTTAACTAATCACATCGTTTGTATCTCTTTCATCAGCAACTTTTTTTACTTAATCTCTTTAACAGAAGGCAACTTATAAAAAATAAGCAGATCAGCAGATTTCAATATCTGTTTTTTATGGAGAGTATGTAGGCGTGTTAAATTCAGGTGGTTTGCAGAAGGGTTAACCTTTTTTTTCTTATCTCAAAGTGACTAAATGATATCTAACTGATGGTTTCAGGGTCCATAAGGCAGCATAAATCTCTTTATTGCTATCTCTGAAATAAAGAGCTACAGAACTATAAATGCTCACAACTGAATGAAATTTTAGACACTGATGCAAATAGGAAGTTAAAAGAATACACTGAGAAATGATAAATACCGACAATGGAAAATTTCCAGGAACTCATTAGTTGTAAATGTTCAATTACTGCAAGGAGCACCTGTCACAAGTGTTAATGAAAATTCCACTGCAGACAGCAAACACCTCATCTTTTATGACTGTGGTTGTTTACGTCATTTCTCTTCCTGGAAACCTGAAACCATACTTCTGTAAAACTATGGGTCTATTCTTACAGAATAGATGGCGCTTTAATGGTAATGAACTACACATAGTGTCTTAAAAAAGGAAAAAAAAGCAAAAACAATGAATACCCAAATAAATGGTGATCATGTTGAAATGAAAACACCCCCCCCCCCACAAAAAAAAAAAAAAAAAGCTAAAAGAGGGATACAGGCTAATAAATTTTATCACAGTCCTCCTTTTTATACATCAGTGATCAAAGTCAAATACCTAAATTACATAAAGGCCCTTTGACAGTCTTTGTTCACACCAAATTTGCTTCAAAAATTGTGTTACATGTATGACCCACACTCACTGGCCATCTCATTATGACTATTCCCCTATAGGGAGTCAGTTTATTAAACTGAATGTTCTTTCCAATTATTGGAAAAATATATTGGAATTTGATGGCAGTTGTCCAAATAAAGGACAAAAACAATCAATGTTGTGTACAGACTAGATTTGGACAGAGTTATTCTGAGAGGTTTTATGGTTTCAGGGTCTATTTTAACAAAATGTCTGGCAGTATATCTCATGCATCAAAAGCACCTGCTCGAGAATCAGGAATACTTGATGTGATACATGTCCCATATTCTATGAAAGATTATAACATGTAATATACAAGGTGGGGGGGGGGGTGCTTTAAAAGTTAGCTTCCAGCTGTTTGGGCAAAATTAATCTAGTTAACTGGCAAATCACTTTTTTCTATTAATTCACAAATTATAAATTCAGATGCATGAACATGGAACCATTCGGGGGGAGGGGAGGTGCAGGTTACAAACAGATATGATTTGTTGACATTACAGTATAATATACTTCAAACTACAAGTTCAAAACTGAGGCCAACACACAAGAAGTTAATGTCAACTTTAAAAAACTAAGGCAAAAATATTTTAGTACAGCATTCATGGTCACAAAAAATGAATTACAATGCATATAATTCAGTAAAATGTCTGAAATATACTGAGCTTCCTTCAAAACAAAACAATGTAAGAAAAATATTAGGGATTAAATGCACCTGGGTACCCCCAGTAAATGTGCTTGATTCTCAGATATCATGATATGTTCCACTGGTATTTTCAATCAAACGCACAGCTCATCACTGTTTGTCCACGTGAACAGACTACTGGTGGCATGCAAATATAACAATTTGTGTGACCTTTCTTGTACAAAGATGTTTTTCTGTCAAGAATTAGCAACATGCTGACTTTCTCAAAATTAACCTCGTCTCCAAAGGCCAATGCTATATATAAACATAAAGACCACAGGTAGCAACACAACAGCAGTCTTTGTATCTAATCTTTTTTTTTTTCAAATTTGATGTATGTAATATTTTATTGGTTAATTTTTCTCTTGAAGTTTCCTTCATTATATGTTCATTAGCACTAATGTTTTTCTTATATACCACACATATACAATGTCTTGGACATAATAACGAATTATTATTTGTTATTATGTCCAAGACTATGTGCTTAATTATTTTCATATATTTTGCTATGTTAGACATTATTATACAGGATGGCTTCAGATGGAGTGAAAAAGCAGATGATAAAATACAAAGCACCATTAGCCTTTCAACAGCAAAGAGGGAGAGGATCTTGGTAAATTTTATTAAATCACTGACAGAGATTACATATATTATGATATTAAGTTTATCATACTCAACATATTTCCATTTAAAGCCGATGTAATTATATCATTGTGTGCTTATTAAGTATCAAAGATAATAACTGATTGTAGAATTCTTATTTGATGTTTTAACATTTTTCCTGGGAGCTGACCAAGAACACTACTGTAGGATATATTTTGAAAAAATACCACCATCACTATCACAAATTGCTCAAGAGAGAAGACCCAATATTACAAGACATGTACACCATTTGATATACTGGAGCATTGTTTGGCATTGCAACAGCAGACAAAATTGGTAGTAAATAATTAATGATATAAAGTGATTTCCAGTACTAGTGGTAGGGTTGTACTAGTAATTGTCCAGTGAAATCATTGAAAGAGCAATCACTGTAAAACTAAAAGCAAATATGTGTCCAGACAGTTACTGAATCAAAATCTATATCAGTTTGCTACTCTTAAAAATATCTTCTCCAACATAATCAATGACACTGCAATTAGTATTATAACACAAAAACTTTATTTAAGTAGAAATGCTGACGCTATCTGCACACGTTTATTAAAAAAACTGGAATAAAGACGATACATATGACATACATTACATAAAAAAATTTCAATTATCTGACATCCGTAACAGTTATTATTGGAATATCTTATCCACATTAGCCCAATAAGGGCACCCTTATCTGAAAGGACTTTCTCACAGGGATTTTCAACAAAGTCGTCTTGCCCATTCCTTGTCTTGCACTAGAGCACCCTTGTCTAGGAAAATCCTGCCTGACTCACCAAAAAGCATCTTGCGGGTTCCCATACTTGTTCAAAAACAAGACATAAATCATAAAGTCTGCATTGAAGAAGCAATAATGTATGTTACTCTTCATCTGCTAATTTTAATTACTTAACATGCTTGTTTCAAAAATATGACCACATCCATTTTGCCCAATACGCCCTCAACGTACAGGAGAAAACACCCATTACATGAAAAGAAAAATAAATACACATAAGACCCATTTCTATTACATATATAATTTATTAAAATTTAGATGTGACTTTCCTACCTAAGCGCTTAGCATCGAATGAGCAACACTATAATATTTATCACAATAAAAGCAATAGCCTCCTGTGCAAGCAGTGTCTTAGCCAGGAGAAATTAATTCAACTCTAATTCATCAAATTTGAATGATTTCAATAATATTTACCTAAAAGTGAGAGAATGATAGAGTGCATTTTGCAAATAAAAAATTGACAGAGAGAGAGAGGATCGAGAATACACCCTCAGAGCTCTAAAGGTCACTAGTTAACAACAAGTTTCACAGAGTCAGCTGCAGTGATTTAGATATAGACTGACCATAAGGATGAACAAGCACTTTCTCTTTTGCCTGGAAATACAGCTACTGTGTAACAGTGCTTGATCAATATGTATTACATATTGTATGTTCATGCTAACAAAAATCACAGAGAATAAATGTGTATCTAATAAAACAAGCAAGACCCAGAGTCAGCATTAACTTTAATGAAAGTATCATCAGGCCTGTAGCCAGCAATTTCAAAGGGGGTGTCTTTTTCTGAAAAAATGAACCCTTTAACATGAAAGCTTTATGTACCTACCAAAATTGATGTATTGATTTTCACTCTACAACAAACATACAAAATAACAGTGCCCCTGCATCAATCATCAATCTTTTTTACTTGATTCCTCTTCTACACTGATCAGCCCACTCTTAACTTTATTCCATTCTACATATCAGATATTATACAAATTTTTATCTTAAATAGAAACATAAAGATGATTCCATATCTTAACATGGCAGCATACCACAAGAAAACCACTTTGAATATTAACCAGAGTTGTTTACTTCACTTTAGTCACATAGAGACAGAGCCCCTTGAAGGTCATCTTGTAAATATTAAATGTAACCATAAAATAAAAGGTATCTTAAAACGTTAAAGTTATTTAAGGAACCTTTCCCACAGATATTTGGATCAATCTATCTCCCTAGGGAATCTCACTAAATTGCTATCAGTTTAACCAAGGACGTATATTCAATATACGTCCTTGGTTTAACCAGCTAAAATGTCTGTCACAGTGAAGCTTTTAGGGGGTAATTATCTTTACCCCCTAGCTGATTCGGTAGGCGTGGCAGATATTAAAGCCGGTTAGTTGATAGTAATTTAGTGAGACTCCCCAGGGAGTTAAACCGATCTAGATGGATCGATCTAGGCATGGGAACCAAGTCTAAATCTATTGCAAACTTTAAAAGAAGGGATTCAAGTTATCTTGTATAAGAAATAAATAAATTACATTGAAAACACATCTATAAAGATCAACCATGAGTTTTTTTCTTCTTGTTACATAATCTTCCTGATGTTAACCTTTATGATGCACTTTCAACTCCGCATGCCTTTTACATATAGCCTACGTCACATATCCTAGTAGTTTATTATTCTTATTTTGGTCCCAGAAGAAGGCACCCAAGCCCAAAGTTTTGGGGACTCTCGTAGTTGATCTTCATAGATGCACTTAAAATGTAATTTATCTCAACTTTTTAAAAGAAGTAAAATGTTAGTCATCAAAAAATTGACAAGAAATGCCATATATTGTTTTTGTACAGAGAAATTCCCAATCCTTAGTGGAAAGCTGAATTGTTTTAGATATCAGTAGTTAGTAAGCAAGAACAGCTTTCAAACATATCTTTAATTTTTTTTACTCATCTCAAAATATCCAAGTGAAAGCAGGAAATAACAGACTTACCATTTCCGGCACTCCTCCAGATAATGCTGCATTACAAAGGCTGGCATCCAAGTCTACATTTCGCTTCCAAGTATGAATTACTACAAACTTTGAAAAAAAATTGAAAATTTCTACTTAATGTTTTCTGAACAATATTACAATCCAATAAAGTAGAAACAAAAAATGACACAAATACTTAATCTGAACGGTGATAAAAAGCATCAGTCTTCAATCTAGATTAATATCAAATTGATGGAAAATATACCTACCAAATGGAAAAATCTGCACACAACAAAAACCAAAGATTGAGATTTCCACTGTGTTTTTCACTTTGAATCAATTGTGATCAAACCCAATGCTGATGACAGTCATTTATTTTAAAACTATGCATCATATAACAGTTATGAAAAATACTATATCTTTTATTCATTTTCACACAAAACTTAATTTGAATGATTTAACAAAGTTTAAAATAGACTTGAGGGATTTAGCCCGTGTGGACTAATCAGTGAACTTATTACTCATGTGAAAGGATCCATGACAAATCTTTGCCATATAGTTGTATTAGTTTGGTTAGGTGCATTGCCATTCAACTTTGTCTACATGTACTTTACTAAGCAGTTTTTAAATCTATGTAAAGCGATCATTACAAATTTAATTAGCTCTTTGTCATGACTGTTGTTTTATTTCATCTTTTTCCTTCCAATCTCAGATTCATAATCCAGACTATCAGAAAAGTTATCATATGGTTATCATAAGAATGTTTCATCCTGCTACAGCATAACAACAAATCTAACTGTAGTGTATTTTTTAACTTCATCGTTTTCCTTTCTTTTCTTTCTGAAATTGAAATAAAACCTATTAAAATTAACAAAGAAGACAAAAAGCATATTTCTTACTATTACATTGCTAAACATCAAATAAGAAATAAAAAATAGATAACAATATAATATTCCCACACTCAAAGAGCACAGTTATTACAGAAATACAGCTGGATGCAAGGTGAAAATTTTGAAAAAAAAAATGAAAAAAACTAATTATATTTTACTTTGAGAATTTCTTGAAGTTCTGCTAATGCATTTTTGTATGGTTCCACTAATGCTTTGTAGTCTGACTTTCTCAGCTTCATTTCTGACACACTAGTCTTCCCTGCCTCTTTAATCATCTTCTTGAAATGGAAAATCTGAAAATATGAGGAAGCATGAGAAATAATATTTACATTGCAATGGATAGGTATTCAACAGAACAAGCAGTCTTCTTTTGGCAGCCTTTATCTAAAACAACTGAACAATTTTATGGCCATTTTCAAAATCAAAGGTGGAGAAGATTAAATAAGGAGACCAATATAATATAGGCTAATAGAATTAAGAAAAACATCAAAATTTCAACAGAAGAGAAATATGAGAAAAATATCCAAAAAATTTGAAAAAGAGAATATATATATATATATATTAAATATTCGAACAACCATTGATATCAATTTACCACCTACATTACAACCTACCTCCTTCTTTTCACACAGGGAGACAGCTGTTCCCACTTTCCCAGCTCTGGCAGTCCTCCCTACCCTGTGGATATATGTCTTTATATATGGTGGAGAGTCATAGGACAGCACATACTGGACATTGTCCACATCCATACCTCTGGCCATGGCATCAGAGCAAACCAAGCTGTCAATAATGGTTCAAATATGTTAATTCTGTGTCCTAAAGACTCATACTTTGTTTTATGTGTGTTTATATTATGTGTGTTTGTGTGCGTGTGTGCGTACATATACCCGGCAAGCGTGTGTGCATATCTGCACACATCCATCTATGTAAGCTACTCTAAGAATTATTCAAGACATCAAACCAATAGTTTTAATGTTTTACCTCTGTTGCCAACACGGCAGAAATTATATATATATATAATCATTTCCACAACATTCTTATGTTTATTCAGATTGTGTTAGATGAGAAACTGCTAACACTGCTCAATAAGGTAAAATGTGTTCAATTATTCATATGGTCAGCTGAATAAAAGGCGATGTCGCATGTGATCTGCGTGGTCATTTATTACTTACTGGCAGAGTGCAGGTATGGTCTGATATTCCATGTAGCTTGTGTAAAATTTATACATTTAATATAGTGAAATTTAGATTTCACTTTATATGGAAGTATATTGTGTAATAAACATAAGTTTACAAGTTTTTCATAATCATAATCAGTAATGTAGGCTATGGGCATTGTGTTTATCAAAGTGTATGTTGGTATGGGTGTAGCATTTTCATGAACAACATGTACATGTATTTTTACGTTATTAATAAATTACAGTAACAGCTCAGATTGTCATGACCATCTCTGGGCAGCCAGTTGGCAGCAGAGAATGAGTACGGATATTGTTTTAGTGTAAGTGTTTGAAATTAAATAATTAGTGAAGTAAACTTACACATTTGTAAAGATTGTGTTTTTTTTAAGATCACATAAATTTTAGTTATTTAGTATATTTAGTTTATCTCGATATTTCACTGTATTGTTATTAATTTTTTTCTTTTTATAGTTTTCACCAGTTTCTGTTCAGTTCTAATTCAGTTCTGTTCAGTTGAATTCGGCTGGGAACAGTTCATTCTGTGTGAATAAACGACAGTCATATCCAACTATGTTTCTTCGTTTTTACTCGTGGTCCGCTACAACTTCCATCATAAATCAAATTATTCTCTAATACTCACAGATCAATTTTCCCAGCTGCAAACTGTTTGAGGATGCGATTTCTCTTGATGGCATGCAAACTAGAGGAGAATTCTCGCNATATATATATATATATATATATATATATATATATATATATATATATATATATATATATATAAAATATTCGAACAACCAATGTTATCTATTTACCACCTACATTACAACCTACCTCCTTCTTTTCACACAGAGAGACAGCTGTTCCCACTTTCCCAGCTCTGGCAGTCCTCCCTACCCTGTGGATATATGTCTTTATATATGGTGGAGAGTCATAGGACAGCACATACTGGACATTGTCCACATCCATACCTCTGGCCATGGCATCAGAGCAAACCAAGCTGTCAATAATGGTTTAAATATGTTAATTCAGGATATCATACTTAATTCTGTGTCCTAAAGACTTATACTTTGTTTTATGTGTGTTTATATTGTGTGTTTGTGTGTGTGTGTGGGTACATATACCCGGCAAGCGTGTGTGCATATCTGTACACATCCATCTATGTAAGCTACTCTAAGAATTATTCAAGACATCAAACCAATAGTTTTAATGTTTTACCTCTGTTGCCAACACGGCAGAAATTATATATATATAATTATTATTTTCATTTTTATTTCCACGACGTTCTTATGTTTATTCAGATTGTGTTAGATGAGAAACTGCTAACACTGCTCAATTAGGTAAAATGTGTTCAATTATTCATATGGTCAGCTGTATAAAAGGCGATGTTGCATGTGATCTGCGTGGTCATTTATTACTTACTGGCAGAGTGAAGGTATGGTTTGATATCCCATGTAGCTTGTATAAAATTTATACATTTAATAAAGTGAAATTTAGATTTCACTTTATATGGAAGTATTTTGTGTAATTAACATAAGTTTACAAGTTTTTCATAATCATAATCAGTAATGTAGGCTATGGGTATTGTGTTTATCAAAGTGTATGTTGGTATGGGTGTAGCATTTTCATGAACAACATGTACATGTATTTTTACGCTATTAATAAATTACAGTAACAGCTCAGATTGTCATGACCGTCTCTGGGCAGCCAGTTGGCAGCAGAGAATGAGTATGGATATTGTTTTAGTGTAAGTGTTTGAAATTAAATAATTAGTGAAGTAAACTTACACATTTGTAAAGATTGTTTTTTTTTTAAGATCACATAAATTTTAGTTATTTAGTATATTTAGTTTATCTCGATATTTCACTGTATTGTTATTATTTTTTTTCTTTTTATAGTTTTCACCAGTTTCTGTTCAGTTCTAATTCAGTTCTGTTCAGTTGAATTGGGCTGTGAACAGTTCATGCTGTGTGAATAAACGACAGTCGTATCCAACTATGTTTCTTCGTTTTTACTCGTGGTCCGCTACAACTTCCATCATAAATCAAGTTATTCTCTAACACTTACAGATCAATTTTCCCAGCTGCAAACTGTTTGAGGATGCGATTTCTCTTGATGGCATGCAAACTAGAGGAGAATTCTCGCACTTCTAGACCACCTACAAGTTTGACTAGTAGAAACAATCTGAAAAAAAAAAATTTAAATTCACCTTAATGCAATACATTTATTTTGCAAAAAAGGTATATAAAATACTTACACATAATAAAACCTTGTGTTATCCTGGAGTGTGCATGTACACACAACAGTCAGATGGCAACCGGCTGAAAAACGTAACGTCATGGCGGTTATTTGAAACTTTTCAGTGAGTCCGCGTCACGAAGTAGCGCCGTTTCTGGACAAATGCGATGGCTGATGTGAAAAACTGTACCTTGCAAATAAAACCAGTTTAAAAACAAACCAGGACGTTTTTACTTGTAATTTTGTAAAGATCATAAGAAAAGTTCATGCCCTTACCCTCGATTTCAAAGGATTACTGAAATATGCAAAAATTTTAATGAAATATGTTCACGATTTTGAATTTTGCAAATAAAATCGTTATCAAAATGAGTATCGTAGGGGGTGGGACTATGTTGCGGGAAAAAAGTTTCCAGCCTCGAATTTATCTCATTTTTAGATATAAGTTAAAACACCACCTAAGGTTTAAAATTTCAAAGTTTCAAGAACGTGTTATTTCTTGTATTGTCACCAGAAGAAATAATCCAAGATGCAGCTCAAATAATGACGAAAAAATGGCGGTCTCAGACCGTCGCAAAAAGTACATTTATTTGCAGGTTACATCTTTATTAAAAATAGCAACACATATATTATTTCAAAGAAAAACGATCAAGTAATATTTCTCTCACTGTACCTTTCGTGTACATTCCTGGAAAGTTTTACGATGACCTTGAAGGAGACCTTCAACTACTAAAGCATTGTGGGAGTTCCTATTGAACAGTCAAGGTTAGATAATCCCGCCGATAACGAATTTTCTATCATTATTTAGTGTTTTCAAATTTGTATGGTATTTTATCGTTTATATAAAAAATGATCATAAGAAAATGACCTGATTTTATTTATGTATTCTGATATCATTTATGCAGGAGATTATATGTTGACCTAGCTATTTATAAAACAACGCGCATATTTGTAAAAAAAAGTATCCAAAAAGTATCAAAGATTCAAATGCCACATTCCAAATAGCAGGTATTGCAAAATAAAGGGGGGTGTGGGAGAAGAACCAAGATTTTAGAATAAATCGCTTAAGATTTGATTTGCCATACTACAGTACGTAAGTATAGCCTATATGTATATATATGCGTTTTTGAATAATATCTTAAGTTGGAAATTTTTGGATTTCTACGGCAAGTTTAATGCTTCTTTCCCATTAAAAGTCATTTTCTTGTTCTTGTTTCCTACTAATTAAACTCCTCCACACCACATGAGAAATATTGAAGCAGTTTTCATTATGAAGTCGGTTAAGGTTCATTATTTTACTATGAATAAACAAGAAACTATATTGGCAGAGCCGCAGTCCGTAATGGTAAACAGAATTAAAATGTTATGTTCAGTCTACTCGTAACTCAGGATTGTGCAGATAAGCTTTATGACAGAAAATTTTGTGGAGGATTCGCAACCGACTTGACTTGTGCAGGTGCGATATAACGATAAAACATCTTCTTTTGAAATAAGACATCTAGAAAGGTAAAATGATATAAACGCCTAAGATATTATTTATTTAACTTAAAAGGGACATTTTATTGTGCAAACAAGTGACAAGTATATTGATTCTCGAAATTTAGTGAAGTCTTCAGACCTTTCACTTGCTTCTGTATTGGAGAATATGACGTCAGAATATGGCTGACATCTAGCGGAATAGAGTCAAAAAGCACACTTCAACAGCTCGCATAAAAAGTTTCCGATTATATATTTCGATAAAACTTGACTCGTATTTTTCTTTTTGAAAAAGCAACATTTTACGGAATTTATTAAGACGTGTTATTTCTAATAAAGGAGATATCACAATTTGTTACAGTGTTGCTATGGCCAAAAATTGACCCGTTGGCCGACTTCCTCGAGTTCTAGCTCACTCATTTCTGCTTATTTATAGGTAAATCGCAGACGTCGAGACGCGTAGTGAACTCTGCTATCACGTCTTAATTCTTCACAAGCAAGTATAACGACAATTAAGAAAATTCATGAATTCCCGCGATGGTTACGCAATTTACAAAATTTCAACCACGACGTCATCTCAGTGCACGCGCTCAGTTGTGAATATTTTCCGGCCAGTTGCCATATGACTGACAAGAGAGTACACACTGGTTAACTGGGCTTAACCTTATGATTATATTCTACCAGGATGAAAAAATCCAAACAAACACACACACACACACACACACACAGAGTATATTTTTGGCCATAAAATGAATTTTTTCCTGGGGTAAATGACAATTTTACCATACTTACCAATGGTTAATGAATCCATTTTTACATTCAAGGTTTGTCCCTGTTTTTTTTTTTTAAGTTTGTTTTGTAGTAATAATCTCTTAAGAAATTATTGCAGAATAAGGACATCTATGGAGGTCATGTGGTCCGATGACAAGCACAGATTTCAGAATAATTGCTATAGTTGCCATTTTTGTCTATGAGTTGTTTACAATGTATTTATAGTGAAATATCTCATACGAAGAGTTGTTATCCCTTTAATAAAGCAGTATTAAAAATTGATTTCTTCGGAGTCCTTTTACACTTTTGTTACAATTCATGTGTCAATTCAATGCTCTCTGACAGACTGATACCTGTGAGTGGCCTCTACTGAGTTGGTAAAGCACAGGACATGTCTGAACTTCAAATGGTGCATCAAGTGGAGAACAACAAGTGGTTTGTCTTGAGCTGCCACCTGGATGAAATATTCCTATAAAACAGAAAGTATATAGCTCAACAGATACCAAGAAACTTTCTATGCACTTATTCAGTATCTTTTCCAAGACCACAACATGACTGAAACCTCAGCAATTAAAACAAATATACTTGAAAATAATAACTCTAACTAAGCTTAAATCATTTTCTCTATATACAGGAAAAGAGGTCATTTCCTAAATTGCACCCTTAAAATTGGGGCAGAATATTGTAATATTAACTTTCATTTATACTCAGTAAAGGAGAATAAAAAGGTTATAAACTAACACTTAATCCAACAGGTGTAGTGTATTTTCCAACAAAGCCACCTTCTATCCTTGCCAGTCCATCTTCCTCTCCTGTTTTCTCTAAAATATAAAAACATTCACATGCTTACATGTAAGCACATGTAAATAACTTTCTTTTTGTGGCAATGCAAGGCAGGTTTTAATGAGCTAAAAATTATGTTGCTTCATTTTCCTGTTAAAAATAGAAATAGGTAACTAAGATGCACAACTTGGTTCTAGCAGAAATTCATGCAAATGTTTAAAATATAATAAAATAAACTTGATACATATGGCGTGAAAAGCTTTCATGTTATTGGGCAGAGAAAAAATAAAAGGAGAGTGAAAATCAAGGTTTAGCATAAAAGTAACACAAATGTATTATAAGTATATGTACTGTCACCTGATGTCAAATTAACTGATTCAATTTCCACCCGTTCTTTTAAACCTGCAGTAAACAGCTTTGGTTGAAACAAATTAAGTTGCTGGAGTTTCTCTGGGTTCTGAGAAAGTGTCGCTGAGAACAAAAGCTTGTGTAGCTGTGGAAAGAAAAAAAAAACTACTAATTTTCTTCACATAAAAAAGCTGGCATATGGTCTTGATTACTGCAATCTGTGATTAACAATTCATTATTAAAATATCTTTTTATATTACATATAAATGATTAAATGAAAAAAATTGTATTGATTAAAACAAATTAAGCAATAGAATATTCAAGTTGTGAGATTCAAAAGATTCTACAGTTGATACTTCAAAATCAATATACTTACTGGCATATCTAGTCTACTGGCACTAAAATGAATAATTTAATGTTATGAGTTTTAAACAAATCATGCAAAATATTCTAAGAAAAAAAAACTAAAACTGATGTTCTACTAAGGCTGAAAAACGTCAAATAATTCACAGATTTTCAAGATATAAACAAACTGGAACAATATTGACACAATTGTTTTACCAAATATTTTTGAAAGACTTTTAAAGCTTCAAGTGACAATTCCTGTATTATCTTGAACTCTATACCATTAACATACTTAATGGTTTCTATGGGTAGCCATAGCATAGCCCTACACTTTTCCACATTGTAAAGAGTAGCATACCCTCAGGGACCCCATTCCCTCGATATTTATGACAATGCCTGGGTCCTATATATATAAAATTGTTGCAAACGATCTTCATAATAGCAGCTTAAAAAGTATTGTTGAAAAAATGCTTGATGTAAAGAGAATCACCCCACACACGCACATAAATTATGACTGGCCCATCCACATTCCTAATGATAAGTGTATCAATCCCAAAAAGTTTTAACTTCCTTGCTACAATGACCTGGGAGGAGTTAGCAGAAATAACAATGTGAAAAGAATAAAGAATCAACCACCCCCAGGGAAAGCCCAACCCCGTGTTGCACTATAATTCAGGAGTGCCAATGCACATCCCTGATGATAGATCTATCAATCCCCAAAGTTTCACTTAACTAACTTTAATGGCTAAGGAAGAAATAATGGAAATTACTAATGCACAGATGGACAGGATAACATGACCCCTGACTTTTGTCCCAGAAGTGCAGGGATGATAATTCTTACCTTGCAGCATTAAGAGCACCTGGTTTGGTCCGATGCTCATAAACTGCAGTCTCCACTCGAGTTAACCAGTCTTGCTTTATCTCATCCATCATACGATCAGCTTCATCTATTACCTGAACCCACAGAATTTTTTTTCATTTACTGTTAGCACTCACAAAATGGATATCAGCAGAAGGTACTGATTTTCAACTAATAAGCACTATAACTATTATTTTTTATCTATTTAATATATTAATTTTTTGAAAACTGAACAACAATTAACTAACATTGAAACTACTTTTAAGTAGTCTTAAGTCAACATTTTATAAGCATCCTGAACAAATACACATTGTTACAGTTGTATTCCCAAAATTAAAAAAACTCATAGAAAAAAGCTCCACCAAGGCAGCTGAATTATTATTATCAATTAATGAACCACCATCAAATTCTAACAAATTTTAAACTGAAAAATCCTGTGTATCAGATAAAATATCATTCTTAATTCAATCCGCATCTCACCAAAAACTGTAAATGTTGCAATGTAAATCCAGGTGTGAGATTAATATGGTCCACCAATCTCCCTGGAGTTGCTACTAAAATGTCTACTAAACTCTGGAAACCTCTGTGACTGCAATAAAAACGTAAAAAAAGTTTAGTGTATGGTAATTAGGAACAAGGAAAAACATTTCTTAGAAACTATCACCTGTGAGAAGGTGAAATCTGACAGAATTATAATTACTAATTATGTAACACTGACTTACAGAGTAACATACTGACCTTTTCTTTACGATTGTTGTCTGTTCACTGCCCAATGTCTTTTGACCAATGATCAAACCGACCTGCAATACATATCTTTATTACAACACTAAACAGTTATAAAAATGAAGTTTTTTAATAATTATGATGTCTTAAAACCCCTTCGTACAAGTTCTGATACAATTTTATTTAATACCATAATATGTTTACAACTAGACAAAGTTTAGTTGATACAGGACATAAATATTCCTCCACATTAATCTTCTCTAAAAGTTTTTCTTTTACCTTCAGTTGTGTGGCAGAACAGTAAGTCTGAAACACCTTGTAAACTTGTGTTGCTAGATCCCTGCTTGGTAGAATTGCTAATGCCCGTATTTGAGGCACAACACGTGATTGTAGAATCTGAAAGAAAAAAAAAGCAACAAGCTGTACATAATAATATTCATGGAAGCAATAAATAAAGCTATCATACTAAATATAAAAATAAAAGCCATCATACTAAATATAAGAACTATTACATGCACATTCTTTCCTGTCTCAAACTTCTACTTTTCTAAGAGAAAGAATAATATATAAAATCATAATTGAAATATATATATATATATATATATATATATATATATATATATATATATATATATATATATATATATATATATATATATGTCTGATGTTAAACCACTTAAAAATACCTTTTTAAATGAGATCTGTAATTAAATTCAAAGCAACAATATTATATTTATCATTAGTTAATAAAAGTAAACAGTTAACTGACTGAGAGAGTAAGTAACTAAGTAAACAAATAATTTATATTTGATCATTCCATTTCTACCAAAGAAGTAAAATAATAACCTGTACAATAGGCAACACAAATGCCAGTGTCTTTCCACTTCCAGTAGCAGCAGAACAGCAGATATCACTTGGCCTGTATCCTGCACGTCCCATACCATACTCCACAGACTGAAGGATAGCAGGGATAACACTAGCCTGGACTAATAAATACAAGTGTGTCTATGGATTAATATTCACTATGATTCCTAATATATTTCAGACATGCATGACCTTTACAATTTTATTCCTTTTGCAGACATTGGAAATTCTTAACTTAAAATTAAAAAAAACTGACTTACTATGCCTATTCTGAAAAATGTAATCCTTTTTGGAGCTATTCTACCAAAAAAACTAATATAGAAAAAATAACATACAAACCTGGAAAAAAAGATGATATATTGTTTTCTTTTAGTTTTTCTCGTAAGCTTTCATCTAACCCTTTCACAGCATCCAAATCAGATTTTTGATATCTGATGTCAATAGGAACAATAGTTGGATGGGATAACCAGGCTGGCAACTGGCGGTGAACCTGAAATAAGAACTTTTACCATGGTAGGGTGCATAACAAGCTCACAATTTTACAAAATACCTTCAATAAAAGATAATAAGTCATACATAAGTGAAAGAATGTCTCTTTACATGCACATAACATTTTTGCCACCAAATATTTGTATTTCAATTGATGAGTTAACATTAGTACCTTTTCTTGTTTCTTTTTATAAAAGTTTCCAAGGACCGTAAAGCCTCCTTCTGCAGTTTGGTCCTCAGTGGCAAAATCCTGCCTTTCACCTTCTATTTGATCATCAGCATCTGCAATACCAGTCTCAGTTGACTCTTTCAAAGACTTTACTTGAGGTTCATCAGAAATATCTGCTTGTTCTTTGTCATCTTGCTGTTGGTGTGCAAATCTCTTTCTTTTCTTTTCCCCTTCTAAATCTTGAGAAATTGACTTGACAACTCCAGATATTGTTGGTCTACTGTCAAGGTACATGTCTTTTTCAGAATCGTGGTCTGTTTTAAGTTTTCTCTTTTCCCTTTTTCTTTTCACATTTTTTGCAGAGGGCTTAGATTCGTCTTTTTTAAGAAAGGTCTCTTTCAAATCATTTGGCTTTGTTTCTACATGATCAACTGGATGTTTAACCGATTCCTCGTTAATATTAAAAGAGACATTTTGAGTCAAATCCCTATGCTTTAAAATTGCACTTTCTTCTTTTGCTTCATGTACATTGGAACATGATTGCCTTCTCTTCTCTTTAGCTTTTCTGTGAATATTTGCAAGTATATCTGCAGCTTTTTTGTTTTTGTTTCCATCTGTATCATATGCATCACCACTGAATCTAAAATATATTAAATATACCTTGTTTTCATTCATGGAAATTACAAGAACAATCAAAAACAAGAACTTAAAAATCCTAAAGTCTAAACCAAAATGACTGTTTGAACATTATCAGGAATTTTAAAAAGTTTATGTCTGACAAAAAGTTCTAGTCACATTTACTTAATATAAAATATTCTATTTGGCTATAGCTTTTATCTATTATCTCAACACATACGCTGTATTGTAATCTTATGATCAAGTTAGATGAAGAAAAGTGTGCTTACATTTGTTGGGAGTAAGAAATAACAATCAGTTTGAACACACATAATGTTTTACAGATGTCAAATGTTATGTAACAAAAATTAGAATAAAACACCTACAACATTTTTTAATATACATTACAAAATTCATGCATTAGCACTTCTGTTTCTGATATGTACACTGTGCTTAAACATGAAAGCAAAGGCCTCAAAAGTTGTAAATAACAACCAGTTGTGCATCCACTGTGATGCTCATTTTAGCTTACCTCTCACTGTGAAATCAAGCACTCGTTAAAAAAAATAATAATAATAATAATCACAAATGAGTTTCTGAATGCATCAGGTAGGTCAAATAATGATACACTGTTTTTCTCTCTGGGAAGCAACCTACTAAGCAGAATTGTGTACAAAATTGCTTGACCAACATGATTATTCATGTTTGTTTAGAACAGGAAACCATTTCTAATATATTTTTCACATTAAGAAGTCTGTTTGTGGCAGCTGTGTTTGACTTCACAGTAACCTAACTGGTAGACCAACAGATGAATGTTACCATATTCATGGCTCTGTTGACAGAAAACTTGTTGGTTTTTCTGGAGTGTGTGAGTTGAAAAGATGACAGGTAAGATAAAAATTTGAGAGCTACCCCATCATGGTAGATGGGCACACTGGTTAAACTTTTAGAGGCCTTTGGTCTCTTGTTTTAAAACAGTGTATAGATGCATACATATGGAACAGCAATCATGAATATGAGTGCTAATGTGTGAATTTTGTGCTATAGAATATATTAGTCGTTTTGTGTTTTTGAGATTCATTTACCAAGGTGATATCAAAAAAGAGTAAGAGCAAGGCCTGTTGTTGCATGCCTTTTACTGAGGGAACCCTAAATTTTGTTACAAGTCTTTGTCTTAAAAGTCAAATTATGTTTTGTAGTGCCTTTTTTGGGAGAGTATAGAAAAACCACCTGCCAGACCAGGGATCGAACCCGAGACCTCTCGCTAACAGGGCGAGTGCTCTACCACCTGAGCTATCCAGCTGGTTCTATCCAGCGTCTGGCACTACAGTTTTAATTTTACATACTGTGTATTTAATTACTCGTTTGTGATATGCCATATGATATGGTGCACTTGATCACCATCTCTGCTATTCAAATAATTTGATCTAGTATTATTTTTAATGGCCTTTTGTATTTTAACATACTCCAAGCCTATTCATACATGATGGGAGCTGAGGATATTTCGGGAGTGAACATCAAATCATCGTTTAAATATTATATTGCGAACACTGTAGTACTGTACGTAGGACTTTGTCACTGCGGTAACTATAAGTGTTACATTTTAAAATCAACTTTAAAAACTAACCTAGAAACTGAAAATAATGCCATCGCCTCTTTTCACACAACTCTGCTGTCATATATAATCTAACTAACAGCGAAGTGCACCCATAACCTATCAGCCTGTGTTACTCATGCCATCTCAAGGGCGCAGACATGTTTGTTGTCCATTTCCGTTAGAATTGTGGGAAATCCAATGTAAACCAATCAAATAGAGACGAATAACCGGAAGTTTTCATTAGAGTTTGACATGGCAAAATGGGAAGATGAAGTCAAATGTGTTAACGGCTTTAGAAGCCATTTAGATAATGAAGAGGCAGGAGAAAAACGCGTAATGTTGCCAAAAGTTACTATATTGATTGTTCTATTTAGTGGTATAACTTTAGCTTATCTTTCCATATATATTCCAAATGTAACTCGCTTGATAGCGAACGCAAGTTTTGGTTTCGGCGATTCCGAGTTAAAAAGTAAGGAAATCTCTAATCCTTCAGTTTTAATATACAAAAAACACCTTGAGGATTTACAATGTGACACTGTCACAAAGACGAGTTTACTGGCACGTTCAAAAAAAGTACTGGAGAAGAAAGAAGGTAAGTTATCATAAATCTTGGATACTAAAACTGAACTATTTTCACTTTCATTAAAAACGAGCTTGACTGTCACCTTCATCGGTTAATGAATCTAAAAAACATAAAAGCATGTTAGAATACCGCAATAGCCTGCAATAAGCAAAATAATAATAACCATAAATAGATAAGGTTTAAATGATTGTTTTTAATAAATTTGATAAATTCACCATATGTTACCTTAGTAAACTGTTTACTGGTGGCAGGATTAGTACAATGTATATAGTTTACAATGGTATACTGTAGATCTACATATGGTGATTACATATAATTTTGTTGATATATACTTAACTAATGCTTTTTTTTGTGTGTGTGGTAGACCATTGTGGTATTTAAAGTCATTTTATGTGGTTTTTAGATTCATTTACCAACTAAATTGTCAGTAAAGCATTAGTACAAATTGAAATAATCTGTTCTGAACACTGCTCAACATTTTTTTTCTGAATTATAAAATTTTACGTATGCTTTGTTTGTTTTGCTGTCATATAAACTCAAGCTGAGGAAGTCACATTAAAAAGAAATATTTTCACATTATATGGTTTCAGGGTCCATATTATGTATATTTCTTCATTTCCAGAAGTGAAAACAGAAGCCTTGGCAGCTTTGAAACTGGCAGTTGAAATGAAGGAGCATGGTAAACATGAAAAAGCCTTGAAGCTGTTCGAACATGCATTGGCATTAGATCCAACACATGCAGATATTTTAAATGAATATGGAGAATTTCTAGAGAACCAAGGAGAGAACATCATCAAAGCAGAACACATGTATTACAGAGCTATTGCAGCCAGTCCACAGCACAGTAAAGCCATGGCTAACAGACAGAGGACACTACCACTTGTACAAGAAATAGACCAAGCTCAGTTTAATAGGATAGAAAAGAAACGGGAGATGTTTTTTAGGATACCTGAAAATCACCCAGGACTCCGAAGGATGAAGAAAGAAAGTTATATTCATCATATATATCATACTGTAGCTTTGGAGGGTAATACTATGACTTTATCACAGACAAGATCTGTAGTAGAGAACAGAATGGCTATTGCAGGCAAAAGCATTATGGAACACAATGAAGTCTTAGGACTAGATTTAGCTCTGAGCTATATTAATAGTACATTAGTACAAAAAATTGGGAAAATAACTTTAAATGATATTTTAGAAATTCACAAAAGAGTACTTGGGTTTGTAGACCCAGTTGAAGCAGGTCACATACGAAGCACTCAAGTTTATGTTGGACACTACATTCCTCCTGCAGCAAGTGATGTTTCTGGATTAATGGAGGAGTTTACAGAGTGGTTAAACTCTGATGTCTCTATGAGGATGCATCCAGTAGAACTTGGTGCTTTGGCCCACTATAAACTGGTGCTCATCCATCCATTTTACGATGGAAATGGAAGGACGGCAAGATTACTCATGAATCTCATACTTATGCATGCTGGTTACCCTCCCATTATAATTCCAGTGGGTGAAAAACACCTCTATTATCAACACATTGAGACAGCAAGTGAAGGAGATGTTAGGCCTTTTATTCGTTTTATTGCTTCAATATTGGAAAGAACATTAGATGATTACTTGCTCTCTGCCACCAAAGATTATGAGGGAAAATTATCACTGTACCGAGAACAAGAAAGAGTGATAATTGTAGATCCTTAAATTGTTTTGATACAATTTGAGATCTATGTATAGTATATTATTATAGTAAAAATACTATATATATAGTATAATTACAGTTAAAGAGTTGCCTGAGAAGCACTGCCATAGGTCTAGTTAGTTTACTTTGCTCCTAACTTATACATTGTTTTAAAGGTATATGTAGGAAAAACTTATTTTTGGCATTCCCCTTACATAAGATAGTGGAGCAAATAAATTACTATGAAATTCAGAATTGTTAAGCTATCTTTTAATATGGAAATGAAATATGATGTCATGATAAATTATTTATTTTATGAATCTAGAATGTTTTGGGTTTACTCCATAAGCTGAAACTGCAAGTTTCTTTATGAATTTATATTTATTGTAGATAACTGCCATTGAACATAAATATTGTGATAAATATAGTTATCTATCACAAGAGTGCAACAAAAACCCAAGGAACTTATTTATTTTTTTTTTTTCACAACTTTTTAAACTTTTTATGTTCTTTATGACAAGACTGATGATTGGAATATTGTTTCTTTTAGACATAGGACAAAATATATATTTATCTTCTATCCTAGTTTAGAGTCTTCAGTGGCTAGGTAGTTTTGGCATATTAAAATATAACATATTTATAAGCATGATTTCATAATATATATAACTAAAATGGCTAATTCTAACATAATTTCTCTTCAAAAAGGCTGACTTTTTTCCTTTACAAAATCAAAATAGCGATTAAATGTTGAAAAGGATGAAGGATTTTCTTTAGCCGTGATATTGGCTTTTAGCATTTGGTGAAAAAGAAATGCACATGTTCACAAGAGCCAAAACTATACTGAAAATAACAGAAAAATATGATTGGCACCCAGCATCAACATACAAATTAACTGCCAGTGTCATTCTTATCGAAATAGTAATCTTACTAGCAGATCTTAAAATTAACATTAGGCATTGCAGTGCTCGTTCAAGACATAAGCTTTGTAGCTAATATAACCAAGTTTTTGTCTAGATCTGTTGCACTTCTTGATTTCTGATGTATATCTGTGATGTTTTTTTAATTTATTGATGCTGCAGGCCAGCTGTATGAGAAATTGTTATTTAAAGAGGAGGGAGTGCATGTGAATGTTCTTTGATTATTGGAAGACTGACTTACCTAAAAGATCAACATATCTATTTTAGTTGACATCACCAAGAACCAAATATTGTACATGGCTGCTTTAGGGGGCACTGTATAATATTGTTTCAGCTAATCCAATGTGAACACAAAAAGTTACACCAAACATTTGTATATATACAGATTTCATAATGTTTTAGTGATAGTTATCACTTTAGAAAACAGTTTTGTTCCAGTGTGTGTGATGATAATCACTAAAACGTTATTTAATTAATTCCTGGAACCATGAACAATCTGATAGATATATTTAAATGGTTTATTTGAAGAAAAATGTCATCTGGTTTGTAGGCTAGTAGGGTTTGGGTTATTAAATTTTTTAAAAAATGTTTTTTTTTAATGTTTCAGGTTTTTTTTCATGGCATTTTCTTGAAAGTTTGGATAAAAAATTCTTTTTTTTAGTTTTTCATGTGAAATATGTTGTGATAAGTCTTTTATATTTTTGACCAATTTTTTTTTTTTTTAAATAATTCTTGGTACACGTCAAGTGATTTGCCACAAGAGATAAGGGTAGTGAAAAAACAAAGATGAAGTGTTACAAGTTCCCAAGCCATCTTCCTCTTTACTCCAGATCTATGTAATATGATGCCATACTCAGTTTTATATCTTACTGATAGTGAGATTTGTCAAAGAAGATTTGGATATACACAGGATATGGTTACTTTTTTGTTTTAATCAGTATTTTGTGCAATTTGGTTTTTGAACATATTGATTAAATGCAATTCACAGCAAAATTGCCCAATACTTGTCTCTTTTTTTTTTTTTTTTTTTTGAGATTAGTTTGGAGTCCAAATCCATTTTAACCAACTGAAAAGCAGTGGTGCAAGACACTGAGAATGAAGTTATACATTTAGTTTCATGGTAATCAACTTAAATCTTGTTTTGCCAGAAAAGAGAAAATCAATTAAGGAAAACAATTTATTAAATGTTAAAAAGCCATTAAAGGAAAACAATTTGTTTAATGTTATTTATACTCCCTTAATTTGAAGACAATATTTTGAAATGTAATCAATCTCAATATCCCAGATTCGTGATACATCTTGCCTGTCATAAAAGAATTGAAATGGGGACAAATGTATCAATTTAGCTTTTGTAATTGGCCTAAAGGGAAAAATTACTTGGCAGAATATTGGTAAATGTGATTCAGCACTAAGGGTGATCACATTCACTTCAAACATGCATGGGTAATGTACATTTAAAAAGATAACTCAATATTAACTTAAAAATATATTTTTTATTTTATTTATATTTTTCTTTATTTCTTTGGAATATAGGATAAATTCTAAAAAGTAGTGATAAATATAATACTAATGACAGGCCCGTAGCCAGCAATTTCAAAAGGGGGGTTCTTTTTCTGAAAAAGTGGACCTTTTCCCATAAAAACTTCATGTACCTAGATCAAATTTTACCCAGAGTGGACCTTTTTCCAGCAAAAGGGGCGGTTCTTTCGAACCCCCCCTGGCTTCGGGCCTGAATGATCACACTTTCTTTACATCATGAGTGGACATGCATTATGTATCCATGCATGGATATTTTTGTTCAATATAAATATATAAAACATGTAAACTGATTTTAAAAACTTGAAAAAGGCACATGGAAGCATAAATATCACATACATTTAGTGCACAATGATACAACTCACATTTTGACACATTATGAAAACTTTTAACATTAAAATGCATATCACTATAAATTATCATCAATTGACCAAGCAACACTGAGTTTCAGAGGTCACTGGAAATTCACCTCTCTACTATCAGAATGCCTCCGTTGTGTCCAGCAATTGATCATCTCGCTTTTATCAAACATACAGTTTTGAAAGAGATGAGAGGAGTTTCCAGCAGTTTCCAGCATCCTCTGAAACTCGGGGTGCCAGGTTTAGCTCCAAAGTACATGTAAATATTTTTTTCTCTTAAATGCATCATAACTTTCAATCAGTTCATTCCCAGACAGTCTAGACTCTTTACATCATACAAAAATGTAACAACAGGACAGATACTATCACTAGGTTGCAGCATGGAATACTGCAGTTAACTTTTACCATAAAATATTGAATAACATGGGGCACTAACAGACTCGTCAGTAACTGTAGAATCCTTCAGATGCATCAGTGGACATAAGCATTAGACACCATTTATCAAAACAGGTGCTAGTGGGGGTCCTGGTTTCCCATAGGCATCCAGTGTCCTGGCCTTGTTCAACATATCCAAGACCTCTGGGGTATTTCTCATTGCTTGGTACTCTGCTGCTTCTCTGCCCAGCTGTAATACATTGAAAAAAATGGGTTTACACTGAATTCAAGCATAACAGCAAATGTATTCTTGCTACACATAATTTTCCAGTTTTAATAATGTTAATGTTAAAATGAGATTGGCTTGTTCATTTCTAAAATGCTGTGTTATTCCTTTTAACATGAGTGTCATTCATTTACCCAGTCTTTTTTCTTCTCAATATCTTCAGGATTTCTCTGCAGAAATAATTCTACAAATGGTCTTCCTATGTTTTCAGGCATGGCATAGGCATAGTGGAGTGGGTACCGGTTACACTGGTAAGAAATACAATCAGAGTTACTAGTATTTCCATAATCTGGCAGTAAAACCAAGTCTTGGTTAAATAGTTTGAAAAGTCGCATATAAAAGAAACTGGCAGATTAAACAAAAAGTTCAGAAGTAACAAGACCTACATGTACACCAAGCATCTTTAATGTACTCCTCTTCAATGCATACAGCATCATCAAATAGAAAACTTCTCTCAATAAACAAAACAGAAACAGTTAGAGTCTTTATTGCTTTTTTTAATTAGTAGTATGCTATCTTACATTATCTGGAATACTCTTTAACACTGGTCTCATGATGATCAATTTCTCTGCCACTGGAAGCTGGTTGAAGACCACTGCCCGTATTAATGCTGTATAGCCATTCTGAAAATCAAAATTCTTCAAGTGTCTAAATATGTTTTGACATGTTGAGTAAAAAATTATCAGAGGTAAATACATATGTGTACATGTTCAAATATACATGTACATGCACATATTCTAGAACACATGCACAAGCATGCAGGCACTCACATACATATAAAAACTACTGTGACAAAAATGCTCACCTTGTCTACATATTCAGCTGTATTCAATTTCTCAACTTGTGCAACATCTCCCCTTGCTGCTGCATGAAAAAGCTGGACTGCCATGTCCTGAAAAAAACATAAAACATTGAACTACCTGCTTACATGAAAGAAATTAAAACTGTTAGCAATCTACATGTATATACCAGTTCAATTATTATCATCAGCATGAAGTGGTGCTGTTGATTGTGTTCAAGAAAAAAATGTTAAAAAAAAACTAAATGCCTATTTTATACAGAGAAGGTTTTCAATTCATTTTGCTGGTGAACAAGTTTAGTTTCATTAAAATAAAATTTCATTAAAATGCAAGTTGAAAAGATTTGGAGTTGAAAAGTTATACAGGGGGGACTGATCAGCATTAAAATAAGTTATAAAAAGAATAAAAAAAATAACTAAAACATACAAAAGATCCACATCCAATGAAGAAACTTTCAGTATTTCTTAACTTCATCATTATAAGAAGTTGCCTAGGATTACTGTCACCAGCTGTCACTTACATGACTTGATATTAAGTCTGCTGTTTTCAACAGCTTTTAATTCAACCTACCTCAATTTCAGAGCAGTGACTAATGGCAAACATATCCTCTTCACTCCCAATCTCCATAGCTACCTGCAACAGGGCTTCACCAGTCTCCTAGAAAAGCAAAATAAATAGGTATGTATGATATGTATCACTTAGTTATTCAAAATATGTCCATATAAAAATAAATTGTTGCACTTATCAAAGCTATAATATACTACTTTTCAATGAAGGAAATATAATGCATCTGAATCCAAAATAACCCAGTATATAATAAGGTCTTTTCTTTAACTCACTCAATAAATATGATTTTACTTTTCCTAATTTACATCTTACCTTACATGTACATGTACATGAATTGCTTTACAGTAAACAAGTAAGACTTCTTTCCATCTTTAAAAATGTGTCTATATCAGCACAACTACAGATTGGTTTCACCTTTCTTTACTTACACTGTCTTTAATTTGGAAATTTGCAAAGCCATAAAAACATGCCACAAGCGTTCTCACAAACTGAAAACCAACTAGCCTTATGACAATCTGAAAATTATAGAAAAATAGGAATTATACTATGATATTTTTATTTATTATCTTGCAAATTTATACCATGACACAAAGAATATTTAAACTTAATGATCACATTTTGATGCAGTAATAGAACTGAAATCAATCAAAGACGTATGAATAAAATAGTAGATTTGTATAAAAATAAACATACGAGCCTATTAGTAAGTAAATGATTCATCACAAGAACAAACCTTATCAATAGCTTGAACTATATCATGTTTTCCTAGGCTAAATGCTAGTTCTCTTGGTGTAAGTCCATTCTAAAATTTAAATAAATTAAATCATGTTTTAAAAAAGCTATATACAAGGTATCCAACTATGTACAGTAGTTGCTCAATCTTTTCAAAGAGGGAAAATTTTACAGATACTGTGTTTTATAAGTAATTTTTTTTTTTTATTAGAACATTCCTACCGAGTGGTAGCAACATAATTAATCAGCAGGCTACTCTATGGTTTTATTAAATGCAGTAAAAGCACCACAAATGCCATATTGAAATATAGCTTTTGTGATAATAAAATTATGTATCTGAAAAATTGATAATTTTTGCCCATTGAAAAGATCCAAACATTACAGTAATTTTCAGAGAAAGTATGTTGTTTGAAGCAATTAGCTTTCAGAACACTATATCGGGGTGTGATTTAAAAGAGCATAATATTATATGCAAGCACAAAGCATTAACAGCACCCACTGAGACTTCATTATTTTGCAATTTACTATGTACTGATTCCTCATCTTAATTCTGATTTGGTGCTTCTGAAATCAACAAACCTTAGTCCGTTCCACTAGGTTTTGTCCCAGCATGTCATTTATTAACCATTCTATGCATTTCACTGAGCAGCCATCCTGGATTGCTCTCAAAAGCAATGTATTGCCATCCTTTCAAAAAAAATAAATTCATGTAAACAAAATAAATAGCCCTTTTTAGATAAAAAATACAATTTCAGTCATCAGAAAGTCCAAATTTTAGAGCCAAAACAGACCAGTTACATCAATTTCAAATTTCCATACATCGAGCTTAAGCAGGATTTTATTGAAGTTTTACTGCACCAACCTTAATGTTGGACAAGTCTAATAACTACTTCACATGCCCTTCTATGGAATCAGAAAACCAGACAATATATGTTGGTAATTGGTGCAGTAATCTTCAATCAAACCTCTACTGACTGTCAAATAAGTGTTCACAAATGGAGAATTGACAAAGAATCTGGTAGACATCACATTTGCTGCTCAGAGTATCATCAGATTTAAGAGATTTTCATTTTAAGCAAAAGATTGTAATGTTACAGGTGAAGAATACATGAGCTTGTTACCTCTGCCAAGGAGGTTGTTTTCACCCCTGTTTGTTTGTCTGTCTGTCATCAACATAACTCAAAAAGTTATGGACCGATTTTGATGAAATTTTCAGGAACTATCAGAAGTGGGCCAAGGAACAGATGATTAGTTTTTGATGGTGATCTGGATCAATAATCAATCAATAATCTAAAATAAAAAATATCGAAAATTTAGGGGAGAAACGGCATTGGGTGGAGACTTTGCTGCCTTGGCGGAGATCTGCGCTCTCTGAGTGCTTTTCTAGTTTATTTTGAGAATATATCTAACCTTGTCTTTCTCAGCTGCTTCTAAACGGGCACAGGCATGAAGATATTTTGCTACATCCAAATGTTCTTTTGGTGAAAGAGCCTTCATAATTAGGGGCATTGTGTCTCTGCATTCATCCTTGAAAATAAAGAAAGCATGTATTATATGTTGCAATGTTTCATTGTGATCAACCAAACTTGCTTTCTAAGACTTTGACTTTTTGTTTGTTCTCAACTGATGCCATTAACTAATTACTGGGACAAATAATAAGACATCTTTTTCTTGCAATATACAAATACAAAAACCAGTCAATACATAAAGCTGTTTAAACACACACACTTTCTCTAACACACACACACATACACACACACACACACACATTCAATACCTCCTCCCTCTCCTTGACTCTGACAGCAATCTTTGCATCATGCTCCACCAGCAACTTGACCATCTCCAAGTTATTGCATTTGATGGCACATGCAAGGGGTGTGGTACCCTGAGGACCCTAAAATGATAAATGACAAGCAGCATTTATCTAGCTAATCATCTGAAAAGTACTAAGTACACACAAACAGCAAATATAAGTAGCATACAGACAACAAAACTATTGGCAAGTTGATGTAGCCAGTTTGGCAGTTTTCCACAAGGAATATGATATGATGAATGTTAATGATTTAAGCAAGTTGGTTGTGAGGTGAAATATAATCCTAGCAACATTGAATAAGTAGCGGTAATCTGGCTTACCTTGAATCCTTTATTCACAATACAGCTTTTCTTTGTTTTAAGAACTGTTTTTGCACTAGCCAAGTCATCAGCAAGCACTGCATGTATAAGTTCCTAAAGAAAAATAAAGAACAATTTGGAAAAAAATTTAAAAAATATCTGTGTCACTTGGGGACAAATTGCTGTTTTTATTTATTGGAAACAAAATTTTACTACAGTATATTTTTGTTTACATGTATCTGCTTAAGGGAGAGAGAGAGAGAGGGAGAACAATGGTTGGTTTAGACAAAGGAAAAGAGAAAAGCTCAGTATAAAATAATATGTAATTACTTACACTGGTAGGCTGAAAACTTTTGAGATCATTGTAACATTTCAGAATGGTTGGTATTTTCCCAGACAAGCTCCTGGCATATTCTAGCACTGTCTTTCCTTCCTATTCAAACACCAAGCAGATGAGTTTGTTTAATTAGAAAAAAATTTATTGCTTTAATGGTAAAATAATATGGGGAGGAAGTGTTTTTTAAATACATTACTGATGTCAGAACAGTTATCTTATGCATTTCATAAACATTTTGAGTTTCACACGTAAACCTTAAACTATAACAACAGATTACAAGAAAACATTTCTAAAATTTCAAGTTATGCCAAGTTTTCCTAGAGATTACCTTGACAACTGCATTGACATTGCACCACTGATCTATGAGCCTGCCAACAGCTGTAGTGTTGCCATCAAGAATAGCTTGAACCAAACCAGGCTGAAAAGAAAGGAGCATTTCAATTCCAGATGTAAGTAAAATTTTTACAAATGCATGTTTTAAATAACAGAAATATATCAGCCACTGAAAAAGAATAAAAGGTTATATATAACCATTACATACGACAATTATTAGCACATCTGAATGAGGAATACCCGTTTATTTATGCATATTTATGAATATCTATTCATTTACAATCAGTAACAAGTAGGTTCTCCCTGTATTTCACCATAAGGACTCACCTTATACCTGTTCAAAAGCTCTTTCAGTTTGCCATTACTCTCATCCAGTGGAGTCAGACCAAGCTGAAATTTGACTTCAAAGTTAATAGCTGCTGAATAAAAAGAGCTGAGCAATGCTTACAATTTATAAAAATAATCAGGCAAATGAATTTAGGATGCATTTCATGTCGAATTTATAATAATTAGTCTCTCACACATTTGTCTTTCATATGTCACATTTTAAAAATTTTCAAAAACACCTTTCTTAAAGAAAAAAGTTCCCTTTCATCTTAACACAAATACCTAATTTTACCTTATTTCTTATACTAAAATCAGCTCCACATTGAAGCAGGCTTTCTGTGGCCCCTATTTGGCCAGATCGCACAGAAAGATGGAGAGCTGTATCACCATTCTAAAATATATAGATGGAAACAATTTTTTGTCAGTGCCTCCTGATGTTTTTCTGAAGGGTTGTCTATATATTCTCTGTTCAACTTAATATGACATCATAATTAATATCAACTCCATATAATTTTTCAATAAACAAAAGAGCATACACACTTTTCCTTGTTACCAAAACCAAATATCAGTGTAACTTATATTATATGTTCAACAGATTTCATAAATCTGATGAAATTAGCTTGATAATGTTAGACCATTTTATCTAACATTCACTAGCATATACATAATTGCAATACTTTAAATGCAAATAAGCAATATGACATGTAGGTGATTAAATTGTATAGTTAAAACAATATCATATACAACACCTTATTTTGAGAGTTAACAGGTACCCCTCCACTAGCCAAGGCATACAGCACAGTGACATCACCTTCCACAAATTGATGAAGAAGAGAGTTGCCATTCTGAAAAAACAATAAATTTTAAATAAATGTAAAAAAAAGTTATCAAATTTTGATGACTTTTCTCATTTTTTTGAAATAACCAACCTAAATTATACTTACATTTACCAGATTTATTCAATATTTTGATTTTGTGCACCAGCAAGCAGAACTACCAAGAAGATAATACAAAAGAAAACACCCTTTATAATTAGAAAATTACCATATCTTTGTAATCAGGTCCTAAATTTTGAATGTGACTTCTGGCAATGTCTCCAACTCCCTGGGATTTTTTAAGTCTGGATGACATGGCAGACTAAAACAGAACATAAATGTCACAATAATATATTAAAGAAGTTTTGAGTAGATATGTTACATGTTCTAAGCAGTTACATTCAGAAATCATTTCTGTTATTTAAATTTGGTCTAGCACAATCTTATATGTGCTATTCTTAGGATATGTTTTTAAAATGCATGTTAAGTTTCAGTTATGTCAAGGCTGCTTTATCACTATGTCACAAGCAACACTGGACAGGTATGTCCACCTAACAGACAAAATTACCTTTCTTTCTTTCTTAACAGGACTAGGTTCTCTTTCAATTAGAGGAGTAGGTGCTTGCTGTAGGCCATCTCCTGGCTTCCTGCGACATTTTCTGATGTCATCTATCAAGTCTCGCACTTTCAGAAGGCCTCTTGTATGTGCCAAGTCCCTGGCATCATAGGCTGACACAGGGCAGCGAATGTCTCCATGGTCAGAATAGCACCAGTGATCACACGTTTTGTCTGGGAACTGAAAAGATTTTGACAAATTTGGCATAAGAAACAGAGACAGTGAGCCTTGCATTAAAAAAGAGGCCATGCAGTAACAACCAAAAGCGACTGACTGCTTATATATATATACTTATAATATCAAAATTGTATAATTCAAGTATAATGTTATAATTTCCCCTTGCTTTGAAAATGGATACAGCTTTTCATTATTCTGGCTGTTACTTTACATTCACAATTTTAGTTACATATTGATTATAGATCATGGAACTGTTAATTCTGTGTTTTGAATATAACATTCTTTTCTCAAACATTTTAATTCAGATATTACCTGATATTCATTTAAAATTGTAAAGCCTTTCTCCACCAAATAACAAGCAATTGTTTCTTTGTTGTTATCAATAGCACACACTACTGGATCTCTATCAGAAAACTGAAATTTACAGAAAATTATAACCATGATAAACCAATTTGCTTATGTTGGAAGAAAAAATTAGGGAAAGGTAAAAAAAAAATGTAAATATGTCTGCATTTTTTTATTGAACCTGTCTGTTCTTGGTCTTATCAGACTGTGTTAAAGGTAATTTCAAAAATTCATGTAGCTTCAAAGATAATTCTAATAAAATGACTGAAATAATTCACAAGTCTAACAATCTAGAGAAAAACTGGTGATAAATCTTGTGCTAAATAAACAACAGACTGAACCAAAAAATTATTATTCAATATTAATTAGTATGATTGCAAACACTTTGACTTTACCAAAAACTAGTGGAATACAATACCTGTTCCTCAACTTCTTGCAGTGCCCTGGGGTCCACAACATGATCCAGTAAATTCCTGACCTCTGGATAATTGCCTTCACAAATAATCTGGTGCAACTAGTGTTCAAAGAGTGTTTCTAATTAATATGTTTTCACACAGACTAACTTAAAAATCATAATAAATAGTTTGCAGTTGCATGCTGCCAATACTTACTATGTAAATTACCATCAATATGCAAAAGAATTTAAACTGAAATTGTTTTTCTGGAAAATCTTATTATAATGAAAGTAATAAGATACATCCGATAAAAGCCCAGTCTTGGCATAAAGTCAAAAAAGATTTGACAGGGATTGAGGGAGAGAGGGGTCAGAAATAATGGCAGACTATAACTTAACTTGTTGGTGTGCTGCAACAGATAAAAGCTAAAAAAATTTATACATGAAAATTCTTTTGTTTGTTTTCTCTTATTTCACAAAGTTTTGCATGTCAATTCTGCATTGCTTTCTTAGGGCGCATTCCCATAGATTTTAGATCAATCTATCCCCGTGGGGAGTCTCACTAGATTACTGTCAGATAATCCGGCTTAAATGTCCGTCCTGCCTACTACAAGCTGTAAAGGGGTAATTAACTTCCATGCGTGGTCGGCTGACTGCAATTTAGCGTGAACCCCCAGGGAGTTAGGTCGATCTAGTAAGATCGATCTAAATCTCTGGGAATGCCCTCTAAGAAAACAATCCCTGCACAAAGAGTTTCACATTAATCATTGAAAAGTTAATCTGACCTAAGAGATTTTCGCATGTTTTCTAGTCATGTATGGCACGCAGTGCTAACAGCCTAAAATGGATTGTTTCCAATGTTCAACTTTCTGTTTTATATGTTTGCAATTATAACATTTCTCTTAATTAAAACAGATAAGCCTCAAACTTCTGTGAAAAGAAACAAGCAAGACCTAAGAAAACAACATGTATTTACCTGCTCTGCCAACTGTACACAAGTCATCTTGAAATTATCGTTCCCTCATCAAACCATAATGTACCTTCAAAATAAATAAATAGGAATTATACAATTTCATATAATTTTAAAAATACAGCCCTACTAAATTTAATCGTTTTTTAAATTTGAAAATCTAATAAAAATTACAAGATCAATAATATTAGATTATCCTCTCAACCTTCAAGTCTACATGTACCTGCAGCACTTAATAAACTTGGTTATAATGATTTAACTTCATATTATAATACACTTATATGATACCTTTGTAAAACAATCAATTTTTAAAATAAAACTTAACATAAAAATGCTATTTCATATCTTATTTTTGACTTGGAAAACTTCATTTGTAGCTCAATAACCATACCATTACAACTGAGATGCTTACCGCCACACTTTACCTCTTGGGTTGTTTGCACAGTGTCCTCCACACACTGGTCACTTCATATGCACTTGTTACTCTTGAACAGCTTTTAATCCCTTTAATTCAATGATGCCCTTTCTGCCATAACCTGAATAAACAAATAAAAACTAGTTATTTACTGATCACTTGGTATTAATTGTCAACCAAAACCGTAGATGTTTTTGGTTAAAATCCAAAGACTTCTATCAAGAAACTCCTTTGAATACCCTACAAAGAATAATTGTATAAAAATTCACACATTCCTTGTCCATATATTCCGGTTCCTTTTGCCAGGTAGAAGAACTGTTAAGTGAAAAAGACGCCTTTGTAAATGCATTATTTTTAACAGCTCATTTTGAAAAGGTTGAATGACGGAGTCAAATGTTAACTGCAAATAAGGTCACCCCCTTGGCAACTGTAAACAACTTCTGTCATACATCACCCACTGAGTGGAAAAGCACTATTATATATCCTTGAGTTGACATTGTAGAGAAATGTGGATAAGTCAAGGAAAGCAGTTGTAGCATGTCTCATAAGTACTTTTGAATTTTTATACAGTGGATCTACTTAGTAGGGAATCAACACAACATGTGGATCATAATATGGTGCTTCCTTTTAATTCATAAAAAAACAAAAAATATTATTCATTACATTCCATTTAGAATACTTTGATTGATATATATCTTATTCTATACTAGTAACCAAAATTGTTCACAGGGTACCAACATTCAACATCATGTGTGCACTTCAATATTGTTCAAGCTTTTAACTGCTAAGATATGGATCATAGACCACTGACAGTGTGTGTGACAGTAAAAAATTATTTTTTCTATCAAATAAATGCCTAATAAATATAATACATCTTCTGGAATACCTTCTAAATACATGATTAGGCCATTTACATCTTCATAAGAGCGAATACTCGTAGCTTCACACTTGCCAGCCACATTATGAAAACTTCAGTTTAAATATTTCTATAAATTCACACATTATCTTGCATTTACATCTATACATAAATGTGTAGTCAATCATGTATGCATAACTTTTCAGTAAGAGTATTTACTCATTTACAGAGAGTGGATGATTACATAATTAGATAAATCTATCTGCTGAATAAAGCTCATTGTTACCAACATCTACGGTTTGCTGACATTGCTGAAACACAATATGTCAAAGAACAATATTGTTCATTTCATGTCCATTACCAAAGCATTTGCATGCATGTGTGAAATCTGACCAGGGCACCACAAAATCAATAGAAATGAATGAATGAAAGTTGGTTACACCTAGGACCCAAAATATAGACTTCATCATCTATCCTATAGGTTACACTAAGGCATATTTCACCAAGCTCTAGCTCAGTGTGAGCTATGATTTTGCTATCTACATGTATAACATCTCAATTGACCAGTAGTTAAAATGTGAATATGTTGTCTAGCAAGCTTATATTTCTCCTTTATAAGAACATTAATGACCTCTTGAGCAGCCTTAAGTATGGAGTATATTTACTAGTATTTCTAGTAAGAATGTGCAGCTTGTGTAAAGTTTGTACACCTGTTACAACAAAGAAAAGCTGGTATTTTTCATACTGCTTCTAAAAAAGAACTATAGACCAGTTGGTACATTTGTAGAATTTACACAAAATATCTTCAAAGAAGAAAATTATTGAGAAGAGAACTTTATAAACACACCCTGGGTAGTCCAACATAAAAATGTTCAAATACATCACTCCTGCTGACAATAAAAACGCCTCTAAAAGTGAACTCGAACAAACTGAAAGCTAGTGATCAACATATTTTCATACCACTAGTACATAGAACTGCAACACAGAATTTTCAGTTTTATGTACCGGTAACTCCAGTTAACAAAATAAAATATAAAAGGATAAAATAATTGAAAGAAAAGAAAAGCTTAAAACAAAGGATAACTTCTGAGTAACCATCTATTTGTACTAATGTACACCAATTATGTCCAACAAATAACCAGGCAAAATAAATTACAGTACTAGTAGTTACCCAATGACTTGCAAAAGTATTCTTCTTGGTTACTGACTCAATTAATAATCCCTGTTTTATCAGTGAAAAGCAATGACAAGGACTTAATAAAAAAAGAGGGAAAAAAGGAAATGGAAAGAGCTGTGCTCACAACTAACAATAGATATTATCATGTAGGGTAGAAATCTCTGGAGGGGGTAACTGGGGAGCAATTTATAAGTTCTTATGGGAAAGATACTCCTACAAGACCTAGTTATATGTCCCTAGCACACCTGCAAAAACATGTGTACCTAACTTTCCTCCATAAAGTACAGTATGTGCTATTTCAGTAGGACAATCCAATGGAAAACATATCATGTTCTGATACAAAATCAGTTCATTTGTAGCTGACTCTAATTAGCCTGAAGAACAAAATGACTGAACATTAATAACAGTCATTAATATATTGCTAATTAAGTACAATTAAGTACAAGTACAAGCATGAATTAAATTTGATGCCTTACTTGCTCTACTACTGTGATGTGCCCCTTACACCAGATTTTAGTAGAGGTAAACTTGGCAATGTAATGAATTCAATACATATATACTAGTACAACACATTCCTATTTATGGTTAACACAAATAGAGTAAACAAACAGAGGAGCACAAATAGTACCACTACCTGTACATACACTATCAGAGAAAATAATTACATTTAGGGCTGGTACGTACTATACAATATAACATAATTAATTACATGTTAGTAAGTTACGTGTCATGCCAAAGAAGGATTGCTAAAATTATCATCTAAGCCTGGCCTGGACAAAGAAAAGCAACAATTTTTAGTTTGAACATTCAGCAAAGTTATACCGGTATTTCAAACATCTTTGAAGTATGCAAATTAATTAGGAAATAACATTAACTGTTAAGAGGTATTTAATGCAGGGCTTTTTTCATTTAAAATTTAAAATGTTATGTTCACTAAATGTGCTGTTGTTCCAGTTCCATTGGAAAAAAACTAACCAAATAAAACTTTCTAATTAAGTCTTAGTTCTACTAAAATATGAGTTTTAAATTTAAAACAGTTATTGTGGTGACCTCTTGGATAATATTTTGAACTAAGTGTATTGGCAGTAATCAGTACAATACACATTTGAGACATGCTTACTTTGGCAGCAAGCCGGTTCATAAACTATGTATAAATACCTGTACGTCAGATGAACCAATTCTGATATAAGTCCTTTGAAATAGGCGTTGATTTACACCTTAACCTTGGAAATAGCAATACATTCTGATATTCACTTTAACGCACGAAAACATACCTTTGTCTGTGGGAATAAACTTTGTTGACTTGTCGGTTTCCATGTATTGCCGCTGGTACGCATAAATAACTGCTCGCCGATGTTGCACGAAGAGAACCAAGCCAAGACAAGACAGGCTTTTGCCTTACCCCATAAGCCCAAATCATTTGGATCAACCTTATTTTTCTCCTTATTTTCATTACTATTAACGATTTAAATGTAGTTTTATTTATTTATTTTGTTTGTCTATTTATTTATTTTATTTTTTTTTTGAAACCAAACTCTCAAAGAAAATATGATATACATATTACCAATTTTTTTAAAATAAAGTATCCCTTCATCACTGGAGTGCCTTGACTTGAACAGGGGACATAATGTATCTTTGGCATTTCTGGCCTTTCAAAAATTCAAATGCTGCGGATCATATTGGCCAATTAAAAAGTTTTGTTGTACCGGGGTTAAAATACTTATTTCTTTGTATTTAATATTTTTAACCTGTTAATTAAATATATTCATACAGTAAACAAAATTAACAAACAATTTTACCAAAACATTTATTTGAACTACACAGCAGTGTGAACTGCAAACTATATTTATTTATTATGCAATAACATATGTATACATGTACTAGTACATTAACCATCACTGAAACGTAGACAAGATTTTGATTATACTTCAGGTAATACTGAGTTCTTCTTGAGCAATATAACTTTACCAGCAGTTCTTATGTCATTACTGTGACTATACACCAATTCATGTCATGTTAGCATTTTATATGCAAATCAAGTAAATGATCATATTCAAATAACACATTGCTAAAAATTCCCCTAAAATAAGGGTTATTTTAAATGTGAATGTAGTCATTACGAACATTTTACAGCAAACTATAAAATGATATATATCTTTTTTAGTAAAAAATGATTATGGATTGGTAAATCATCCTACTGTATAATTGTAATAAAACACGTTCATTTTTAAGATGCAATTTGTAATAAAGTGAAATCTATATAAATAAACTTTCTTACAAATGGAGTGTAAAAATATATACCAGTATGCAAAGGTGATAAAAATACCAAATTATATAAAATCCAACAGTGTCATGTTTAAATATCAAATCAAAATTGGAACAATAGCAAAGGATCTTATTGGCCTATGATTCTTTCTGAACATTATGTAAAAATTTCAGGTTCATCAACATTTGTACTGCATTGACTCTCTATAAAGTAAGATTGTCTAAAATGTGTACATTTTATTGAGCAATGATTTTGTGTTTGTTTACAGTACTGCAGTTTTGTGCAAATCCTAGAATTTAAATAACTTACAGGCACAAGGTAGCCATGAGAAGATCAAAAACAGGAAGCATCTTCAAGCATCATATCACATAGCAACCACATTCAGCACATAGCAGACATAAAATGTACATGTAGTTATGAGAAAAATATTAGCACATAGCAGAAAACTGCCTTTTTCATGGAATGCCTAAAATTGCCACACTCAGTGTTGCATCAACCAAAACCAATGTCTTTATACAATACTTATGACTTTGGTGATATGGCACATCTATCTTTGTGCAGAACACTTATCTATTGGGGACACATGGCTATACCCTTACCACCTTTGTTAGATATTAATGCTATCATTATTTTCATTATTTATGTATAACTTGAACTGTAATTAAGTAGCTAGAGCTTCATAAACAGTAAAAGCGCACAAAAAGTAAGTAATTTTCTTTTGAATTCTAAGCCTCAAAAACATCAAGGCAAGTAGAGAAAGGTACTTATCAGGAATCCACCAATAAAAATATGTTACATGCATGGAATTTTGATACTGTGCTATGCAATGGAGAATGCAATTTTGATTTCAGTGCAATATAACTGATTATCAATACTGCCATAATTTTGTTTTGAAGCATTCACTCCTTCAGCCCATATGTTCCTTTGTACTTTGAATAGCTGGCTGGAGCTGTTCCTGGCTTCATGAATCTGGTAGGAGGTGTGGCCTCATACAGTGTTGGCACTGTAAATACAAAAACAGATAGTAAGGTACAGTCTTAGTACATATGTCCTCCAGCTATAAAAATGAAGAGATACATGTATATTCAATTACAATTATACAGGGTCACTGGTATTTTCAGAAATTTAGCTCTGAATTTGAATGAGATGAAAAGGATGTCACTAATGGGTATGTTTGTATACAAAAATAACTCACAATCTCTGGCTCCTTGATGATTAGCCTCTTGGTACCAAGGTCTATAGTTGTCCATCTCAATCTGCCTCCTCAGATCTTTCCTGTAGCTGCTCACATTGTGTCTGTTCAGGGAATAGATAGGAGTGCTCATTTTGGGTTGAAGAGGAAGAGCCCTTGATTCACGGCCTCCAGTTTGTAGATATTCATTAAATTTGTCAGTATCATACTGTCGAACAAGCCCTGGAATGAAACAGTTTATTAAAAAAATATACAAAATTGCAACAACTTGTTCACATCTCTCTCTCTCTCTCTCTCTCTCTCTCTCTCCGTGTGTGTGTGTGTGTGTGTGTGTGTGTGTGCATGCGTGCGCATGTGAGAATGAACATGCATTCTTGTCCGTGCATCCTAGCATGTGCATGCAGATACATGTGTGCATATATGTGTTCAAACATACATGGCCCAAGATTTTTTTCTGTCTTATACTGATGCCTACCATCAATGAAACATATCTGTGCTCCTCCATAACCAAGCACTTGTTTGATATGTCTCCAAGATCCACCAATAGCCCCCTGACGTTCCCTGTTGAAAAGATAAGCATAACATGGATATGATATGATATGATATGATATGATATGATATGATATGATATGATATGCAGGGGCGGATTGAGGTCGTCTTCTGGGTCTTCGGGAAGAGGGACAGATTTTCAAGTTTACATTGGCGCAGCACTGTGGGGCAACATTTTAGATAATGAAGTTTGATTGTTTGACAAGCTGCATGACTGTGATTCAGGACACAGATTTTCCTTTTAAAAACTTTTATTCTATTATTTATTTATTTATTATTATTTCTTTCATTTGAAAACTGCATAGGAGAAGAAAGTTTTTTAGATGTACAATTGTTCCAAGCTTTTCAGAAAAAATATCAGACAAAAAACTGAATGTAAATATAACATTTTCAACTGACCTTGGAAGTCCAGGGTTTGGATATCTGTAAGCCACTTTATCCGACAAATCTTGATATGCACTGAAGAAATCATTACTGTCTGATGGAGGAACTGTAGGTTTGTAAAAGTTTTGTTTCTAAAAATGTATAAAATGTGATAATATTAGCAACAACCCAGCGGGCAAATTATGTTGTTTTAACGTTGAAACAACGTTGAACCATAACATTGAGAAGACATTGGATAAACGTTGGATTTGAAAGTTGTGTCAACCTCAGATAGCAACATTATATCAACGTCAGAAAACAATGTTATATCAACCCCACCCAGCGGGAAATTAGCCTGGATGTGTTTAGCAGTAGGACATATTTGATGGCTAAATATATGTAGGGTATAAATGTATGGCCTTTAAGTTAAAATTTCCAAGGTTTAGTTTAATATATAGTTCTTATATATATATATATATATATATATATATATATATATATATAACAAAGTCACAGTCTCCTCAACCTGTCTATCTATAATAGCAGGTTACCAAGAACTGATAACTCCATCACATTTACAGCAACTTATTCATCCTAGTGTTAGCTGACCTTGCAAGGAATTCAGTTTATTGGAATGTATTTCTGAATAACAAGTTAAGAAAATTCACTAGTTAACTAAAGACACAAAACAACTGTCACTTTTACTTTAAAACCGTTTTGTTATTATTTTGATAAATTTAGTTACAGTATTGATAAACAAAGTATCACGTTTTCAATAATTAATATTTTAAATTACAATCCATAACTGCAAGGTTGTGTCATTGACCAAAATACAACGTTGAGTCAACGTGGCTGGATCAACGTTGATTTTACCTTAAATTTGGGTAGATCAACGGCAATTCAACGTATCAACCTGTTTTCAATGTTGATCCAATGTAACTATGCCTGCTGGGAACTCTAACCACTTCAAGTAACAGGCCAATAAAAATTTCAAAATACATTTTTTAAATGAACTTAGGAAATCTTATAACAAATATTCTTTTAATAATAATTATTGAAACAAGAGATAGATGCTTAATTTTGACCTAAACAGATAAACGGTGAAGCTGCCACATATTCTGACACAAAACAGAAACTATAATTTTAAGTAAACACCTGGTTGATTTTATACCCAAACTTCACTTTTTTACCAAAATAGGTCCTAGTAAATTTGAGGCATAAAAAATAAATACGGTTTGGCACTCATGGGGTAAATTTCAGAAAAATACATGCAAAAAAAAAAAAAAAAAAAAAAAAATTCATAAAATTAATCAGAGCGCTATTTTTTAAAACTCATCCTGCCTTTTTATCAAACAAATCTCATTAGAAAATTTTAAGCATAACAAAAATACAGTTTGGTACTTATGTGAAGAATGTTGTAAAAATAAGAAGAAAAAACACAGAATGAGAAACAAAAATGTCAGTTTATACAATCAGAAAAGCACTTCTGTTACTTTTACTTAGTGTCTTATAGTGTCATTCCTTACCATTTTATAAGTTTTCCAGTTTGCTGCTGATACAGTCTGTGGAATATGGCCACATTTTCTGGGGTTCAGCATTGGCATCCAATCATTCATGCCAGCATAATTGGTCCTTTTTAAAAAGATGTATAATACAGTATATGTTGAAATGGATAATTAGACAATAGTAAACAAATCAAGGAGTTATATAAAAGTGGAATCACTTTAACTATGAGCAATCTTATCCTAAATATTAACTAGTTTACATGTAAAATAACGAAATACTGGTAACAATTCTTTTTCATTTTATTTTTCTCTCTCTCTCTCTCTCTCTCTCTCTCTCTCTCTCTCTTTCTCTCTCTCTCTCTCTTTTTTAAGGGGTGGGGGTACATGTTTTGCTGCCAGACCATGTTACTGTATTGAAAAAAACCTACTGTTTCCTGGAGAACGGCCTGTATCCTGCTCTTGAAGCTGGTGGTTGTGGAGTCATGAACAATTCTGCACCTGCTCCTCTGCCATGTTCTCCATAGCTACTGTATGACCTCTGCATGTAATCTGCTGCCATATCTACCACAGAAATAGGTAGACCTGTAAGTGCAAAAATAACCAGTGTATGCTATGTGAATAAGTCAGCAGTTGCCTTCTGTTGCAGGGTTGTCACAATACTCAATACTCAAAATACATGCATTTACATCTATTGTGTAACATGTTAATAACAATACTGTAATCTGCTGCCATATCTACCACAGAAATAGGTAGACCTGTAAGTGCAAAAATAACCAGTGTATGCTATGTGAATAAGTCAGTAGTTGCCTTCTGTTGCAGGGTTGTCACAATACTCAATACTCAAAATACATGCATTTACATCTATTGTGTAACATGTTAATAACAATACTGTAAAACGACCCCCGAAAACAATGTGAATAGATACATGAGACAAGTATTACCATGCAGACAGAACTAGAATACACATAAATGTGTAGCTGAGTTGCTAACACTGACCAAACGGATCTGGTATCCATGGGGAAAATATTTTTACAATTAATTTTTACTATTAATGTTATTTTTAGTATTACTACAGCCAAAATATGTATGTTGCAAAAATATGAACATGTATGTTTCAGATGTGTATTCTACTGTTGACAACTGCCAAATACTATAAAATAAAATTTCACTCAAAATTGTTTTAAAAAAAGATGCAAAATTAGTTATTTGAAGTTCATTCGCCATGCTTTTCATTTTTGTTTTAAAATCAACAGGTGTACCTACTAGTAATTTGGCAAACATACCTTTTTGTTATAATGTGTCAATTCTTAATTAAATGCCAGGATAACCAGTTGGCATTATACATATATACATGCATCACATTATCAGTGATAACGCACTATTCTCGCCTTTCTGCTTCAAACTCATTATTACTCGATGGTTTTGCCATACTTATAGGTATAACTCATTCTTACCAGGGATAAGTAAATGTACTGTAGAAGAGTAACTTCACCAAGAATGCACGTGTACGTAGGCCTACTCGTAACGTAAGACCTAATACTAATAGTCATAAATACTACAGTACGTAATAAAGTTGATTTTTTTGGGAGATTTTATCCCCTATGTCCACAAATACTGTTAAAAATTGCCCACTCACAAGTGTTCCTTGATGAGATAAGTCCCAAAGCAATGTCTGCAAAAGTGCTTTATCAATAGACTTACCTTCACTGTTGCCCGTAATCAAAATTAAAGAAAATCGTTGAATCAACACCTGTGGTTGTCAAGATGCTACGCCATGTTGCAACAACCTGCAAGACAAGCCCAAACATCACAAGAGCAGAAACTGGCCGATGTGGACGGTCTTGCCAATGAGCGCCCCTTTTGAAAATGTCTGAAGCTGTCTGCTCAAGCTGTAACGTGGTTGACACGACAGCCCAGCCCATGCCTGCAATTATCTGAAGTTCAAAATATGAAGAATCATTTTCATGAGAGATCTTCAAACCACACACATATATGTATATATGACGTTGAAGTTTCAATAAAGAGGCCGTCATACACAAAATACTCAGATAAACCAAGGAGTTTCAACAGTAGCCTAACTCCTTGGATAAACTGAAAGATTGCTGACTTTTCTCTTTTTTCCAGTAAATAACAGTAGACCTCTTGTTACTTAACAACCGCTGTATGTTGAACTGTTTCTATATGCATGTGTGTAAAAGGGCAGTATACAAAATTTTCTTGGTCTTTCCAATGCTCATTGTAAAATGGTTTCACTAGTCTGCACGTTACACCTTTTCTCTCTCCCCCCCCCCAACAAATGACGGAAATTCAAAAGGCAAGGATTGCATGTAGGTTTAACTGTTCACTCACCATATTACAGGCCTAAGTATGTACTTTTTTGGACTCCATTTTTTATTAGCATGATTACCATCGAGATATAGGCCTACCATCGAGAACGCTGACGTCAGCCTTATAGTCGTGAGGGATGCACCGACACAGCACGCAGGCTTTCTCTGTGCACTATGCAAATGAACCTACAGTTCAGCCCACGGCGCGCAGTCTGGAGACCAGGAACAGAATGTCGGCACGTTTGTAAGGCTACTGAACAATTAAGTGATGGATTTTCACTTGACCCGAGAAAATAGCAGATTTCTCCAGCTACCACATTCACGGCCTCAGAAAATGAAGCTTGGATTTGGTGGCATAGGCCTATAATGATTTCCATTTCGCCCGAAAAAGAATAGCTTTTTTCCCCTTCATTCGCAGATCCACAAAATGTAATCATTGACTTTATCAGATTTCCTTCTCGTGAATTTGCAATGATTATTTTGATATTAATATTTTAAACCAAAAGAAGTGAAAATAGTTTATTTAAAACTGTTTAACAGCGTTTATTTCAAGGTTAAAGGTTATTTATGAATTTGAAACTCGTAGATTGATGTGCAGTAGCTATGTAAGAAACGTTGAGGAGAGAGGAAAATCCGTTGCCTCTGTAGGACCAAGCTGTACTAACAACTTTCTATCCCCAAGAAGTCCACCTCCATGTCCGTCTTAAACTTTAAAACTTTAGCTATAATGTGGGGCACTTTTCTTCTTTGTGTGCATAATGTAGTGAAAACAGACAGTTGTTTCAATGCGCTTTCTGGCAGAATATGATTTTTTTCATATGCTTTCCAAAAATCCATAATTAGATTTTAGATTGAATGCTGCGTGCGATATTTGGGGCGAAGGAGATGAGGTGACGAGTAGGCCTAATCATTTCCAACATGCAAGTCGTAGCTACAAACGTGAAAAATCAATGCTGTCATTACAATGGAATATAGACAATTCAGTGTTTTTAATTTTATTTATTTTCTTTTTGTATATTTCTTCCATTTAAAAAAGGTTAGCGTTCTGTCGGTGCAATGCATGCTATCAACTTAACATACGATCCACAGTATGTATTAAGACATTCCTAAGGCGCTTAGGTCATTATGATTGATTCTTTTGAACCTAACCGGTCAACGAACAAGCCAAAATGCCATGTCTGCATGATTCTGTTTTATTGAGTTTTTTTCATCACGCATCTGGCGTTAGAACCAAGATATCAGAAAATAGAAAGACTGTCTCTTTTCTCAGGGTCGCTGATAGAGTTAAATGCGCAGTATTAATGACAAAGATTTATTGCATTTAATAGGCATTTTATATCCACACGATGGAGTACCATTAGGATTATTAGCACACCTGCAAAATATCATTGTATCATTATCCTTGATAACAGATTATAAAATTAGTTTCAGCTGTATCACTTCTTTCCATACAAACGGTTAGATTCAGAGATTGCAACTTAAATAATGGCGCGATTCGTTAAATTATTTTGCACTGGTCGATTTCACCCTAAAGCTAATCTGACGCAATTATTAGATACGTCGCTTTGAACACATAGATCGCCCTGAATGGGAAATTCGTGTTGAATTATGTATGGCTGCCTTGAAAACTGCATCAACTTAAATCAACTACAAATGCACCGGATGACAGACATCGCCCCCAGTCTTGTCAAACTGTAACTAAACTTCCGCAGAATTTTAGAGGTTTTAAATTCTACACAACTCAGGTAATGTGAGACGAACAACTGGAATATAAAACATAAACCTGAATATATATATATATATATACGAACGAATGTATATTATTAGCTTTGTGAAAAAACATTCAACGTTAAGTTTGCTGAGGCTTACGTCGATCTAGAGATAATGATTCTTATTTTCGACATTTTTTTAGGTATTAATTAACATTTGATCTGTTGTCCGTAGACAGCATCTCAAGCACATAATACAGGTGTATTCATGTTTTAAGTCACGTTCGACATTGCTCTTTGAAAGAAATTTCTTGACAAGATGATCATGTTTTAACAACCTGAAACTATCGCATAGTCCTACTGCTACAGTACAATGACCGTAACTTGATGATCAACATCCTCTTCACAAATTACAAAATATCATGTTCCTGTATTTGAACTTGCGTGTGTGCTGTGTAGATATTGTACATGCCCCCGTAATTGGTAGCTAACCATCAAAAATCACGCAAGCAGCATCTTGGCCATTTGCTTCTGTAAAAAAACATTAAATGACGTTTTTATGTGTTGGGGAAGGATTATCATTTAATTCTTTCATAAATCATTCTACTCACAAAAAAATGGTAGGCCTACATGATACTGTGTTTTTGATCTTCATCTGATGTTTAAATTTAAAGAAAAATTGAATGCTTATTATATGATACATGTACTTGTGCTTTGGTAGGTATATGAAATCAATTTTTTAACTTGGCTTAAAAATGTACCTTTGATGAGTAACTGAATAATACCAACGCTATATCGTCTCTTATAATACATAATACATAATACCATTCACCATCTTACCGAAACACTTAAACCCGGCTTTACAGAAAAGTACGCGTATGTTTAAAAGGCGTCAAAAACGAATAAGGGGGAAATCATTTTATAATTTGACCTAAGAGGGTTTACGATCTCAATGCTCATAGAGACGTTAGCCACCCCCTGCAGCATACATGTATATAAAAAATCCACATTAGTCAATCACAGTGAATTTATGTTGTTTCTTCGAGCCTACAAGAACAATTATTATTATATAGGGGAAATTGATAAATGCTGTAAAAGACACGTGACATTCTATTTGGTAGGGAAAGCGAGTATTTGAAATAATCTAGTAATCTTTAATGTGATTTTTTTCTTATCTTTTCAACCTTAGATCCAACATAAGATCCTTCTTTTAACCCATCTCTTCATGGAGGGTGTACATGTCTTTTCTCCGTCTTTTTGAAAAGTATGGATGCTAAAGCCGCTAGTTTGATTGGGAACAGAGGAAGTCACCTATATGCCTTCTGCCAGAGTCCATATTTTGGCAAATCATTACAAAAAAAAAATGGAAAATAATAATTGCGATTTTTGATTTGGTGTATGTATGTAGCTGCTAAAGATGTGACATATCATGGATATAGTCTACGGTGGACAATCTTGTAAGTAAAATGAAAACGAAAATGTTCCAGACGAACGAAACGGTGTGCCTGTCTCGACCATACTACGGCCATACACATCTAAGAAACAATAAAAAAAAGAAAAAAAAAAAAAAAAAACGTTATCTTTTGCGGGACAAAATCACGGTGAAAAAGTGTGAAAGGGGGAGCTTTAGAATTCGGGAATAGGAATATGTAAATTGAGTAACAGCGTATGCAGACTTACGTTTGAGTTGCTTTTTCAAACAAATTCAATTATCGGGTTGTCATTGGATTCATTGGTTTGTCACATTCGCGACAACAGTGCTGTCTTTCTTCGCCCATCATCGCCTTTCATCAGTCTTCTTTTTCTGAAAACTGTCTTCCTATTATACGTTTCATTTGCGTCAGTTAAGCACAGTGTGAACAGTTTGAAAGTTTCAACTTGATATAAGCAAAGTGGCTGCATCTTCACGGCTTCTGAGTCTATATATGTCGCGGGGAATCATTATCAAAGATCGTGAGTGCAGAAATGCATTTTAGTCGATTCAGTCTTTATTTGTCGTCATGAAATTATCCAATTCAGGAATAGTTAAAAAACAATTCCTCCCATGCCAGCAATTTCCTTTTTTTAGCACATTTTTAACAGAGGCGTCTTTACACAATGTCCATGATATCATGCAACAGAAAAAGCAAAGAACTAAATTTTTTTGCATGATATTTTTTGGCACTTTGTCCTCCGTCCAGGTATACATTTACATGTATCATTGAATATATCACAGTTGATTTCGATGTACGAAATACAGCTTTATTCACATGTTCTAGTACACCACACATTATTACAATACACGTACACGTACGAGGTAAATGGCTTTTTTTTTTTT